TATATATTTTTATATTTAGTTGACGAAAGATAATATATTAATATATATTTTTTTTATAAATTTTTATCTGTAAATCACAAATGTAATCATCACAATTATTCACATGAAAAATCTCGCATTTTCTTCATTTATACTATATTATACATATGAAGATGTCTATCTAAAATATTTAAGATTTTGAATAGAAATATAGTTTGTATATAAGTTGTTTCATCATTTAACAAGCATTATTAGCGTTGGAATAAGTTTCATTTTTATATGACTGATAGAATATATTTTTATCGATATCATGAAAAGTGCAACCAAAATCCTATATACAAAATCTAACGTATTCATAGTCTTTGTTTTTACACATTCTAAAATTTAAACGTTTATAATCGTTAAAACATCCATATAAAAAAATAACATACATGTGTGCTCACACTCGTGATAGTCGAACTCCTTTATTTTTCAATCTTTTATTCGATCTTCTTCCATTATGAACACTTGTACCTTTATATATACATATAAACTAGAATTTCATTTCTTATTCTACTTTCTTATTACATATTTGTCACGTAGCCACATAATCATGTATAAAGTGAGAAAGTTAGTGAAAGACAGAAAATATGTTCATTGATCGTGTCTATTTTCATTTTGTACATTAGAATAAGGATGAAGATTGGTGTAAAAGGGAAATTCCAAAATAAAGCAGTAGTTCGAATTCAATAGGATTATTCCTAAACAGAAGGATTCGATTGTATTTATTTGAATATTATGAGTATAGTAATAAAATAAATAAATGATTATATTAATTAAAAAAATATTTTATGTAACAATGTCAAATATTTAGATATGCCAAAACACAAGCACACGTACTCATGTATACCTACATATATGTATATACATAAACACGCATACATACATACTCAACAAATTCTAAAATATGAAAAAATATTTTATACAATATTTTCAATATAATTTATATTTTTTAATATAAATTATATTATTATATTATTTTTAAATATAAATTATATTATTAATTTTTCGTAACGTTACATTTTGTGTTCAGTGGAAAGATATCCTATAATCGATATGATTTATATTATACAGAATGATGAAGAGAATTATATATATACGAAAAAACAAAATTGTATATATGTAAAACAAATTAACGATAATCTTTTAAAATCTTGAAAGCACCAATATATCTCTCCAAATAAAGTAACTTTTATTTGAAACATTTTTCTATGACACGCATATGTAATATATCTACTTTAGAATTTATTGAGCGTAGTAATTTTAATTATTATCTTTTTATGTATGTATATATATGTATATATGTTTGTGTATGTACATATGCGTATAAATTATATATATTTTTTTCAAATCCTTTTCACTATTATTATTTAATCTTTTTTTATTATATTTTAAATACCAATAATGAATATTCATTCATTACACTTTTTACGATAACGATCGAATATTATATACTAATCAGTCATATTACGAAAAAAGAAGCTTTTTCGCATGAGATCTAAAGCAAAGCTCTATATACTAATTTATACATAAAAAGATGATCAATGGAAAATAGACTTTGCAATAAAAAAATATTATTTTCATTTGGCTAACTGACGATTCTGGTTCAATCTCATTAATAAGTAATATACAGGATATTATAAAAATCACACACATTGTACATCTCAATTTTAAATATTACAAAATAAGAAAAAAATCGCAAAGTAAAAAAAAATGTTGCTTGTCCAATTATTAAATTTCAAGGATATAAAATGTTGACAAGCTTCATTTTTTATATTACAAAGTTTTAAATTAAACATATTTTTTACTTAACTTAATGCTTCAAAATAATAATTAGAATTAATGTAAAAAAATTATTTAATAATAACTTTCGATTTAATTTTTGTTATTACGGAAAATCAATTTAAAATTTACAACAGCAGAAAAACAGGTGATAAAAATGCGCAAAATTTAAAACTATATATTGTATTCCTTATGCATTAACTTAATTTTTATATAATACAATTTTTTTCAATATATATATATGTACATGCCTCCATATGATACGAACGTATCTTCATTATTTAGCAAAATACTTTTTATAAAGACTAATCGATTGGCAAATATATTAGGGCTGCTCGCAACCTTTAACCTTAAAAGCAGTTAATCAAATATATCCTGCACTATATAAGTGCTTATTTTATTTTAAACATACCTAGATAATTTATGTTGCGCGCGCACATTCGCACATGTATATATATGTATATGTGTGTCTATATATATTTACATTTAATTATTTATTTACATAGTGTTGCAATTTATCATAGAGATATGGAGATATCCCCTTCATAAAAATTTCGATGCAAAAAATTAACATAAAATGCAATATACTTACAATTAGCTAAAAATATATGATACAATTTCTATTTTTTTATTAAGTATTAATAAGTGATAAGTGTAAACAGTTATTCATATGCCACATGGTACCGATATTATATAATATGGAGAATATTAAAAAATATTTAAAAAAAATTAAAAAAAGAATTTTTTTTTCTTGATCATGCAAATAATATTTTGTCATACAAGATTTTCTCTACAGAAAATATGTAACAAATTATCTAATACATATATAAAATTATTTTATTACTCTCTCTTTCACTATTTCTTAAATCTATAAAGTGACTTAAAAAGAAATTTTACATGGTCACAAGAAAAATTAACGTTATAAATATATTTAGCGTATATAAAGAGTGCTAAGATGATCTTTGTTTTTTAAATAATATTTCTATGCTTTCTTTTTTTCGTTAATAAATTATACGATACCAAATAAATCATATACAGTATTAAAAAGCTATGTGTATGTGTATTAGATAATACATATATACTACATACACAATAAGCACGTATCTATGCACTCATATGCAAGTTATAACATTTGCGATAAAATTATATATATATATCACTTTTTAATTTATGTTGAATCAATAAAAATATATATGCAATAAATATTAATAATTTTCGTGAGGAAATATAATACATATATGTCATCAATTATAAATTTTCTGCACTTTCGATTCTTTAAATTTTACAAAAAATTTTGGAGAAATAAAAACTGCAATAAAAGTCTGCAATATTTATCAAACAATATAATTTGAAAATAATACCTCTAATAATTAATGAAAATGAAAGCGAATTAATAAGAGCCAAAGCATGAAAAATCGAGATGTGCAAATTATATTAATAATGTATATTATATTAATAATGTATATTAATACATAAACAATGTATAACATTCGTTGAACATTTTTTTAAGTATATTTAGTGAATTGCGATACTCTTTCAGTCAGTATGTAAAGCATATATGACATACACAAATGTAAGCATCAAATATGTGTGTAGTGTAGAGAATAGAAATGCATTTAAAATTAAAATATTGTCAATAAAGATCAAAATTATTGAATTATATGGTTAAGTAAAATATATAAAAAATCAGATGGGAGAAATTTTTTAACGTTATTTAAAATTTTTCGGCACATATATATTCATCCCTCAAAAATGTGCTATCGCAATTAGTACGTCTAGTGTTGTAACTAATCAATAATATAAAATAAGGAAATATAAAGGATATAAAGTAAAAAGAAGAGATAAATAGTATAATTTTTTAGAGACTGATTTAGGAAGAGGATACGAGAATGGGCAGTGATCAATTTGACGGACGGAGGCATTCAAGTGGTAACTGATGAATTCCGGTGTTGGAATATATTAGTTAGAGAACGGATTAAAAGTAAAAACGGATATAATATTTACAAATTGCTGTATTTGTAGCGCTAAATATAGTGCTCATCCAGAAAGTGGAATGGAGATACACTTACAAAACAACTATTTCTCTCAGTCGTAAATTGCCAACTTCTGGCTTCATTTGTTGGATGGAATACTTGATCAATATGTGTGCGTGTATGTGTATGTGTCATTGAATGAGGCATAAAAAAGGTATGCCTAAAGATATGTAAAGTTGGATCGTCTGTGAGACAAAGAAAGCAAAATAACTTCAATATGTTAAAGAATATCACAGAAAAAATGATCTATTCAAAGATTGAAAAAGATGCAAGCAAACATGTTTTTGAAACAAATTTTTAGTGTGGTTTGCTTTTTCACTTATATTTATTCACTTAGTATAATTGTTTTTTCGCGCGTCTTTGATCATTTTTAGACAAGTTTTCACGCTCTTTTTCGTTTTCTTGTCTCTTTAAAAATTTTCTATTCAAATCTATTTCTTAAAAGTGTATCTTTTTTTACATATCTAACTTTACATATTTTTAAGTACATTTTTAATTTCTAGTCTTTTTAATCTCTTTAATAATAATATTTGGCTTGATAATCGTGATGGATAGCGCACCTTAAAAATATGTGATAGAGGACCTTAAATGGCATAAAACATCTGTGATTCTCTTCTTATTTCTTACTCTTTTTTACTTAACAATATATAATTTAAATCTTTTTGGACATTTTTATTTCAAATTCACATTTCTATCTTTTATGTATTTGATGCTTACGTTTGATTGTAGCATGTACAATTTAACAATTGTATTAATTCATTCATCAAATACGGATCCTAAACATTCTATATTGTGTCCATATTAATATACTATTAATTTACACATTAACCTTTGTGCTTTGGGTCTTATTAATTTTTTTCACTTTCATCGATTAAATAATATAATCTCTTAGCTTTATTGGATTTGATTAAATATAGCCATTTGTCATCTTCTATTTACAAAAAACATTAAACAGTTATTTTAAAAAATAGAGATTATCTTGGGGAATTTGATAATAAGTATATGATATAAAAATTCTATTCTTTTATGCAACATATGTCATCTTAAAATCATATCTCTGTTTCAAGCCATTTTTTGATCAATAAAATAGTAAAAGAATTACATATAAAATGTGATAATATTAAATAAAAAAAGTTTACCATATTATAACAATTAAAAAGTTCAATAAAAAATTAAAAAATTACATATATTTGTAACAATAAACGGAAAATTCATATGCCTTCATAAGAAAAATCATATCATATATTCACACACACACATACTGTCATTATACCGAAAATCATTGCACATGTACTTTTTATACATGATAATTTTCAACAGAAATGATGCTATTCACATGTTAATTTGTTTATATTATAATTTTATATTTTAAGTACACATTATATAGAGTTTAATGTGTACAATCTTTTCATCAATTTTTATTTACTGTAACATTGTCACAATGTGACTACAGTAAAATCGTTTTACGCTATACGTATAAATCTATTCATGTTGTAGATTGTACGTGGCACAAGGAAATAAAAAATGTATGTTTATACATTTGCCGAATACAAATAACAATGTCCTTATTTTTCGATTTTTTTTATAACAAATGTTCAATAATACAAATGAGGAAACTTGAAATTGTGTTTCTGTCTACGCATATCCAACATAGAAAATATATATATATATATATATATAATAAAAAGGAACATTGCAAATTATAATAGAAAACAATAGTATTTGTTGCACATGTACTGAATTATTGCAAATAGACTGCATGTAGGATGACTCAGTGATTTATTCTGTACATTTACAACAAATACTATTGTTAATACCTATTCTATAGGTATAATAATACATACTAATGAACAAATTCTCTCATTAAAATTTTTTTCACTTGATGAGTTTTTCAACAATTATGCACTTTAGTTAAAACTAAAGAAAATAAAAAATATATTACAATTTTGAGAATTATTAAATATTCATATAATAGTCAAAAATGTTTTAGAAGATATAAATATACTAATAAATCTCCTTAGTTAAACAACTTTATGTTATAAATAAGATGGCTCTTATCTTATCTCTCAAGCTAAACATTAAAAATGATATAATACACTGAATGTTACACATACAAATATAATAACACAATAATGTTATTATATATATGAAGAATGGCAATTTTAAAATACCGTTTGTATGCAATGTTGTGTATGCAACATTATGTATGCAACGTGTATGTGCAATACTGAAACAGTGATGAACAGTGTATGTTACACTAGGAATGTAACGTAATATATAAAAAAATGTTACATTATTTGTTAGTTGTCGTCAAACAGTAATACATGAAATCAATTGCTGACAAAGTTGACTGTATTGCAATTGGTCCCCACTAATTCTACGCATTTTTATTCCTTTTACCTCCCTCTCTTCCGATTCACATACTCTAAGTTCAATTTGTACGCCACCCGGATATTCTAAACTAAGTCCACTACCCTCTACTTCCTCCGTTGAGAATATAAAACCTTTTGGTGGCGCTCTTGCGTCTATTATTTGTTTGACGCGACCTAATATAGCTTCAGAATTTAATCTGCTCGACTCATCGGACAACGTAACTTCGACTTCGGTAGGTATTGTATTAGTAAGCGGTCTACCGATACCGCGTGTGATACTAGGTCTCGAAGGATCGCACGGCTCTGAAATAAGAAAACTCGGAAGAGTGTTATAGTGAGGTAATGCGTCTTCGAGTGAATCAGGCGATGGAGACGGAGAAGGCGAACAATTAATTAACGTCACTTGTCCTCCAAGAACATCTGTCACTGAAATTTGCGGCGGTACCTATAAGCAAATTTTAAAACTTTAGAATCGTATTTATATTCAAAAAATTTACTTTACAAAAAATTTTTTTAAATTTTATAATAATAGAAAATTATTACACAAGATTTCTTAATGTAAACTTTATCTCTTCAAAAATAGTTGTATAGAAAAGCGTTGCTTTAATGTAACAGTACTATTTATATATGATATGAAAAAAATGCGTTAATTGCAAATAAAAATTAGATATTACAGTTTTAATATTAAAACATGGTATACTAAAAATAATCTGTAGTAAAAATACTATATTTTATTTATAAAAAAATTTAAAAATCTATTATTTTATAAACTTCATTTTCTGTCTAATGCAATTAATAAAAATAATCTGTAGTAAAAATATTATACTATATTCCATTTATAAAAAGATTTAAAAATCTATTATTTTATAAACTTAATTTTCGGTCTAATACAATTATTTTGCGATTTAAATCGAAAATTAAAAATAGTATGTTTAATAGAGCATAAGAAATATAATATTAAACATTTTTTTAATTCTAAAAATCTATATCTAAGCCAATTCTAAAAGTATCTTAATTTTTTAAAAATTTCTTTCATATTAATAACATTTTATATTACAGTGAAACTTCATACATATTTAAACGATTGTTACATACCCTTGGTATCTCTACAGGATGTTCTTCTTGTATCATATCCAACGCTGGACTATTACTAGGGGAATAACTCACAGGAGTAGTAGCAGGTGATCTATGATGCCTAAGTGGACTTAGATCTAAAGGTGTTGCTGGTGGTTGAGCCGGCGTACCATGTACAATACTACCCTGTACTACCGGCGCCGTAGTTAAACCACTGAGACCTATTGTTAAAAAATGAATTAATGTATTAATCATTTACGTTTACAAAATATTTGTTTATTTTACACGTGTAGGAGAAATACATATACACACGCGCGCGCGTTTTTCTGTAGAAAATAGAATTAATACCTTGCGTAATTGCTGCTACACCTCTTTCGTGCACAGGAGATCCCGGAATACTTGCAGGACTATGTGAAGGCGACGCCAATCTTTGTAACTGTTGATACTCTTGTTGTAGAGCTTGGATTCCTGGTCCAGGAGCACCCGATCCTTCTGATGCTCGACGAACAGGGGAGTATCTTTCAGTAGCAACATGACTGCTTGGTTCCTTATACGAATCTCTATTATTTACTAAAATAAATTAGAAAAACATTAGAAATATATTCTAGCATTACATAATATTGTATATATGCAATGAATTCATAACTAATTCATTTGTGTCAATTTTATTAATTTACACAAGTTAATAATAGCAAAATATTTTTACATTAAATATTACAGAATTTTATTTATATTTGATAAAAAATTTTTTTTTGTTATATTAAATCAGAAAGATTAATTCATTAAATTTTTCTTATGTTTGTATAGGTATTATGTCTCTCGTATTTTCTGACACATATAATATGCATTATAAATTAGTAATTATGTGTATGCGCATATGTATAAACTTATGTTCCATCTTAAATTACAACTTGACATTATTGAAATTATTTATACCTCAACATTAGTTTGGAATAAAAACTATAAAATTTCTCCTAAGGAGATATCCTATAATTAAAACGGTTTTGTTCTACGTGGAAACATTTTCAAGATATAAGGTCATTTCTATTTTTTAAATGTTACCACATGATTTTTTAATATCATATACAACATTTTATATTAAAATATAATATAATTTTTTGTAATCATGGAACATACTAACATATAAGAAAAATCGGAATATTTTAATTCAATAATATTATATGTATACTAATTTAAACATTTAGAGATCAAAGGAGATTTAAAAAATCTCGAAGCATATCTGCTTGAAAATAAATTGTGTTGACTGTAGGATGTCCTCCACAAAATACAATAATTAAAAAACATTTTTAAATAAATGTTTAAAATAATTTTATAATTTATAGTTTTATAAATATGTGTATATATATATATATCCGTATGTATATATATATATATATATATATATATATATATATATATATATATATATATATATATATGCACACACACACAATATGTATCGATTGAAAGGACACGTCTTATCCATACATATCCGCGCACGCGCGCGCCTTAACATGTACACATAATTACGCACATACGTGCATACTTTAAATATATTATTAATTTCAAAAAATCGATTTTCTCAAAGTCAATTTTCTTAGATACAAAAGTTCAACGATAAAAATTTATTCGACGTATTTTTAAATAATAAATTACTATCTTTGATGATTGTACTACATTTTAAGACTTACCTTTCATAATGATATTGAATATAAATTTTATTTATTTGTTTTTAATAAAAGATATATTAGGAAACATAAATTATAGCATCTATCCTTATTAAAACTAAAAATAAACATATCTTGCAACACAAAAATAAATAAATTTATAAAATAAAAGTGCAAAGATTACCAGTACTAGTGTGATATAATGAAGATTTCCTGTGGTGTGGAAGTGTTGATCCTCTAAGATGAGTTGGTAACAATCGCGATGGTAGATAAGCTCTATTCATCCTAGCTTCTACCTCCATTACCAGCTCCGGATTTATAACTACATGCATATTACCAACCAACGAGGCATAGTGCAGTGGACACAAGAAAACCATGCAAAATCAAAGATAAAACTGAATAAAACGTTGTATAAACAAAAATAAGACTAAAAATAATAATAAAGATAACAAAAACATAAAAGCTCTTGCAAAATTAATTAAATAAATATTACATACATACATACATATATACATATACATATATGTGTATATATATATATATATATATATATATATAATATATATCTGTAATATATTGATTAATTAGATCGGTATATGTTGATTTAAATCGTGGATTTAATTATTTTTTTAAACTTAAGAGAAGTTAGCATATATATATATATGCTTTTAATATTTTAGAAAATATCAAATAAATAAAAAACGAAGTCGAATTTTAATAATTTATCAATAAATTTAGAGTAGTTTTATTTAATGCAAAAAATGGCATTTATTATATTCTAAATATTGATAATATATGTTTTTTTTATTTTAATCTTCAAATTTTAAAATTTCGGTGAAGCTTTTATGATATTTCAAAAATATATTTTTGTTATATATATAATTCCCCTTCTTTTTAAATATTTAATTGTTTTTATTTTTATTCATTGATTATTCAATAACTTTTACTCCTTTTTTTGTTGCTTGTTGAATTAAAAAATGAATTATAAATATTATTTTTTATAATAAAACAAATATACGTATACACATATATACACAGATTTCTAAATAATAATTGATATAAGAACTAAAAAAGCTTAACATAACTATTAAAAATTTTCTTTCTTAAAAAATAAAAGAAGCTCTAAGTTTACATATTTAAAAAATGTTATATACAAAAATGTGGCTGTGTGTGTGTGTTTAATGTGTATTTTAGATGAAAAATGTTCGATAGTTCTACATTTTTTTATATAATTTCTTTAATAGTTAGTAAATTCATAGTTCAAATGTAATATATATTTTTAAAATAGAAATTAATTCTACACAATAATTGATTAAAAAAAATTTTGAATTTGTGCTTATTTTAGACCTTGTAAGAGTCTTTAAAGCACTTCTTTGTATCACACTTTTTTAAACAAGCTTTTCATTTTTAAATGTACTAAAATGTACTATTAAAGATTGACTCGATAAGTTTATGTGTAAAAGAATTAAAGAGCACGTTGGGTTGTGTGTACATATATGCATGCGTGTGTACACATATGTATGCGTGCGTGTATGCTATGTAATAATATATATATATGCAGTATATAAGTATGGTGTATATTTATCTCTCTACGTGTGCGTGTATGTGTATATGAAGAAATAGAGATCTATATACTGTATGCACGTGTGCAATATAAAATTATATTTTAGATAATATATAATTATATTGTAGAATATAATTTACACATTACTGTGTATTCTCTCTCTGTAATTTATTATAAAATAATTAAAATTCTTTTGTAAAAGAATCAATTTTTTTTCTACAAAAATCGATTTTATTTATTGTTTATTTAGTAATTTGAGAAAATTTTTATATATAACATATGACATACGTATGTAGACATATGCATACTATTTCTGCTATTTTCAATCAAAATAATTATCAATAAAATATAGAAAAAAAATTAAGAAGCTATAAGTCGTGCGATTTTAATAATTAATTGCAAAAAAAGAATTCAATACAATATTGAAACTTTGACTATATCATACCTGGTCGTTGCATAACAGTACTAAGCCCACTTCTTCTTCTTCTATCGCTATTTCCATTATTACTACCACTGCTATTACTGTTCCCATCTCCACTTGCAGTACTAACACCAATACTTAATGACTGGGCACATTGTACTAACCCTGAACTGCCACTCTGTAACTGTATGCATACAATAGTTTAGAAACTTGAAAAAAATATTTTTCGATATATAAAAAATTTAGCAAGTAATTTGATAAATAAATAAGAAAATAATCTATACATATATAGAGTAAATTAAAGGAAATATAATGCATCCAAAGAAAAATAATTTTTTGTGCAAAATTAAGTTAAAACTGTCGTTTAAATTCACCAAATATGTTAGGTGTGTTAAACACAATTACAATATACATGGAAAAAATTGTATGAAAACAAATAATTTTGCATAGTTTAGAAAAAACACGAATTGAATTATAAAGTTATATTAAGAAATATAAAATTATGTGAAATAAAAATATATGATGTATGATATTTTTAAGTTCTATAATAATTTTTTCATTATTTTATGGCTTTTACTATTTTAATTATACAATATATTTAGCATATATTTATATACTTACAGATTGTAATTGTTCCCTACTACCAGGTTGACTCCAGCCACCTTCATCATTGCTAATATTATTACTTTGTTGTTGATGAAATATATGAAGATTTGCTCCACCATCTGAAGCTCTTCTTCCAAAACCTCCCGCTATACATACAAATATATATAATATAGTAAACTAATAAAATATAGCAAACTAATAATACTTTAAAAGAAAAAAATTAAATTAATTAAAAAGTTAAAATTTAAAGTTTTAAGATGTAGTTAAGATGCAGTTGATAAGCATAATTTCTTATATATATATCTACATCTGTATCTAGATACAAAACATGGTATCTGAAATACTTTTTTCAGATACATTTGCAGATACATTTTCACATATTTTTTTAAATAGCCTAATTCTTTAAATTATTAAAAGATCAAAACTGCAAGTTATCAACATAACGTCATCAACACCGGTTGAGTTATTATTAAGCATTGGTCAAATTTTAGTACCATGACGAAATAGTTTGAGTGACGATATCTTTGAGACATTTTTCACGCGTTAAAACTAACGAAATAAAGTCGTAATATAAACAAAAATATTAATAAAGATAAAATAATTATTCAGTACATTTTGCGCATATTATCATTATTATGATAAAATATAGTTTAAAAGTATCTGGTATCTAAGATACTTTTAAAGTATCTAAGTATCTATATACATTTTAATTTGTATATCTGTATCTAGATATATTTTTTTTACACGTATCTGTATCAAGATACATTTTTAATGTATCTTACCTATCACTATATAATATATAATAATATAAAAACATTAATTTGAGATATTTCTATTATATCATATTTGCATTTTTAATAATTGAATATTATATTTAAATATTTTTGAACATATTTATAACATATAAAAATTTTATATATATTATAAATGTATAATGTCAAATAAGTTATAAAAAAATTCAGACATGTAACTGTCTGTTTTTTTTTATTAATAAAATAACAGATTTGACATAAAAGATTAATTTATCGTTTTACATTGTAATAAATTATTTAAAATATTGTATAAAAATGAAAACTTACTGGCACCCATTACAGGAGGCGGCTTCAATAAATGCTGATCTTTTATTTGGAAATTTTGAGGTGGTTGGTGTTGAACTAAGGGAAGATTCAATGGTAAATTTGTATGTGGTAGAACTTGAGGATCCATATTATAATGAAGGATAGGAAGTCGTAAAGTTTGATATCCTGACATATGATTATAAGGATATGATGTAGGAGACTGATGCACTGCATCACCAGGTCCAACTGTATGTCTTCTTGTTGTATGATAAGGCGTTCCAGGAGGCAAATAAAGACCACTTTTTTCTTCTGTTTCTGCTTCGGCTTCACCAAACTATAAAAAATATATATATATATAATTATATATTACACAGATTATTTATTAATTTTATAAACGTTTTATGTGTGTGTGTGTGTGTGTTAAATGTAATACAAAATAGTATAAAATATTACAACTCATTAGTCTCCTTTTAATTACTTGTAGACTCAAAATAATAGAGAAAACTTTACAATTCATGATATAGAGAAAACTATACAATTCATGATATAAATTTTTATAAATGATTATATATATCTTTCACACATATTTTAATAATACTTCAATAATATACTTTTTAGTTATACAATTTACACAAATGAAATCTATGCTTGTAGAAGTAGAGATAACATTCTAGAATCTTCTATTTTTAATTTGCTCCTCAAAAATTAAATAATTATTACCTTTTCCAATTGATGTGCATCATCGGGCAAATAATCGCCCGGGATGTTTTGGATATTGGGTAAATTAGGCATTGTTGGTCGATCAACAAGTAAATTGTATATAGCTGATACATGATCAAAAGTATTTCCTTTAATGGCTTGTAACAACGTATCTGTGCTAAGTCCAGGTAATCTTAGTATCATAGTATCCATCACTGCTTGATTGAATTGTGGTGCTATGTCAGGACTACATCTGAAAATATATAAAGATATATAAATACAATACATAACATATAGATTAATAATAACATAATTATTATTAAAACTTAGAAAATATATATATATATATATATATAGCTATATTATATGCATATGTAATACATACCCTCCAGGTTCTAACTCTACGACTCCAGTTCCACACATCCAAGAATGTGTTAATATTTGTGAGATATTTAAACGCCGCTCTGGTTCTACCACTAACATGTGCCTAATCAATTTTTCGCAATCTAAAATAATAATAAAATAATATTTAGTTACACAACTTTGAACATACATTATTTCTTTTAAATATAGCCGAAATAAAAAACAGAAAATGTATATAATTCTTGGAAAAAACTGCTCGGTTCATATGGATAATATAAAAAAATTATACATTTTTTTGCAAATATTGCATTAATATGTAATAATTAGAAGAGTAAATTTATTTGATAATTAAAGTGTGCATTCATATATAATAGAACATATTTTTTTATTTAGATATTAAAAAACATTCTGTGCAAATTATACAAAAGAAATACAAAATGTTCAATAAATGAAGAGAGATAAATATTCCAATAATTTCATCAATCGCAAATATTTTTTGAGTGAGAAATAGCTTGTATATATTTACCTGCAGACATAAAATATGGTATTCTGAATTTCCCTGAGACAACTACAGATCGTAACAATTGCATTGTAGCTCCATCAAATGGTAGAGCACCGCAAACTAATACATACAAGACAACACCGAGACTCTGAAACATTTATTTATTACATTTAATAATGGATTCTAATGTCACATTTTAAATTAAAACGTTTAACTTTGAAACTCTGAAACTCTGTATGTGAGTGTGTGTATAACACAAAAATTTAAATATAAGGCTAAATAAAAAGAATTATCAATAATAATGTGTATATATATAAAATATCAATAATAATATGCACTTTTAAGTATATTCTTAGCAAAACCAATAAAATAGTGTCTAGATATGAAAACAGCAACTCCTCATTTTCGAATTTGAACCATTTTCCATAAGAGTTGAGCCATTTTCCATAAGAGTAACGTCATTAGATATTAAGTATAAAAAAATAATTAAATTTTTAACTAGTATACGTTCTGGAATATAAGATTTATATTAAAAAGAAAGAGCGAAAACATACCCATACATCAGCCCTTGGACCATCATACTGCTTTCCCTCAAAAATTTCAGGTGCAGCATAAGGTGGTGAGCCACACCATGTATTAAGTGGAACACCAGGTGTATATTCATTACTAAATCCAAAGTCAGCAAGTTTTATATTATTGTCTGCATCAAGTAACAAGTTTTCAGCCTGACAAAAAAAGAAGCAAAAGTTAGTTATATAAGTATGCACATAAAAATGTAACAATCTTAATAATTGGAGACTTCTCATACATCATATATTATATTTTAAATATAAGTTAATTTTAATACGTAATAAATAATTTAATACATAATAAACTTAGAGACCTTAAGATCTCGATGAACCACCCTTTGTTGATGCAGATAACGAACGGCAAGTACAATCTGACGAAAAATTCTTCGTGCTTCTGGTTCTAGCATTCTACCATTTCGAACAAGATGATCAAATATTTCACCTCCAGGAGCATATTCTGTCACTAAATATATCATTTTCTCCGTTTCCATTACTTGATATAGTCTTATAATATGTGGATGTCGTAATCTTTTCATTATATGCACTTCACGAAAAATTTTTGCTAAGTTTTCTTCATTTAGTTTAGTTTTATCTATTATTTTAATAGCAACCTATAAAACACAAGTTAATAGCACAAATTATAACATGCAACATCAATATAATGTATATATTCTAAAAATATAATGCGAAAGTTTTCAACTGGAGATTTATAAGATTAAAGACAAATACATATGCAAAAAATAATGCACGTATATAAACAAATATTGTTATAAATATTTAATTTTACATAATCAAAAATTTCGGTCCATTAAAAAAATATTGAGAATTTGATAGAATACAGTAAAAATTATTTATATATTTAAACTACATTTTATTTTTTTACATCTTTCCCATTATTTCCGAACAAATTAAATTTTAATTTAGCCGATATATTTTTCTTTAACCGTCCAATGTTGATATTTTTTAATTCTAGTCGGACTTTTAATTCCTCTTAATTAATGACTAACGCTTATCAAAACAAAAAGTTTAATATCATGTAGCCATCTTATAACAATAATAGAATGACTAACAACTTTTTTCACATAATTCGCATATAATATCAACAGTTATCTTATTTGTGTCTGCAACAATTTTTGTTTGATATAAACGATTTTTTCGTAGACGATTTTTTTATATCATATATTCTATATAATATTTTGCGATTACGTTATTTACAGTTTATTTTTTATTGATAATAAAGAATAATCTCTCTCTCTCTCTTTTATGAGAAATTTTTCCATTTTTTGATGACTTAATCACTTTCTCCGGTATCTGTATGTCGATATCTCGTCCGCGCATATGTTATCGTTTCTATGTTATCATTTATATTATCTCATTTCTACGACTTATTATTAATTAATAATTCTAACATTTATTGTTAGCATAACTTTAGTGTAACATTGCTTAAATTAACAACGTTGTACGAGGACGTTTAAATTACTCAAAATTATAATTGAATAACATATGAGCACGCAAATTTTAATATTTCCTAAATATATAAAAATTGATAAAAGTTTTCTTTATTATATTTTTTTCCATTTGTCGATTTTCTTCATTCTTGTCTTACGTTTATATAATTAACATTAAATATTATTCAAAAATTATTTAATATTTAAGAATAGAATTTTCCTCTTTCTTGAATTTATATTATGTATTTATACATACTCTTCTAGTCTGAATATTATTTAATAGCAACTGTTTAAATTTTGTTAAAAATTAAATAAACTTTTTTTTTTGGAAAATTACGCGTATGTGTATTTGTACGTGCATGTATATGTACGTGCATATATATGCATACGTGCGAACGTGCAAGCATGTGCATTTAGAATAAAAAGATAAAATTTTATTGACAATAAGATAAATTTTTCGAGAAAGAAAAGAGAATGAGCCAAAAAGAAAGAAGACAAGATATAAAATTAATTTGTTCTTGACTAAAATATCAAAAGTTTATTATTCGTTATAATTTTTAAATAGAAACTTACATTACAATCTTCTAATTATATGATAAATAATGCATATTATTTAAAATATATTAATCTAAAATTGTATATAATTTTTAATTATACATATATTTAAAATTAATATTCTGATTAAAATTTATTTAAATTTAACCAAAAAACATTAGTTATTATATTTACATTTTAATTTTGAAGTATTTGTTTGTCTAAAACTTTTTTATTTTAAATTGATTAAAAATTATTGCACAAAATCTCTCTCTCTCTCTCTCTCTCTCTCTCTCTCCCTCTCTCTAATTTTATCATGTATATCTATTTATAATTTCTGAATTAAGATTAATTAAAAAATCCATTATTATATCGTTAATCTGCTTATTAATATTAATTCATAATTTATACTATACAAAACAAATCATATACAAAGTTTAATTGCATATATTAATATATTTTAATGAAAAATATAATAACTTAGTATTTTTAGCAAATTTAAATATAGATTTAAGAAAAAAAAGAAACAAAATTATGTTAATAAATATAAAGTATAATTACGATGGGTATAATTACAAAGAGTAAAAGTTATTACAATTTTGATATAGTAAAATTAAATCATAGAAGCAGATTAAATATTCAATATTTTATTTAGAAAATATATAATATACAGCATTTTCTCGTTAACAAAAAAAATAGAATCGATTATTTTTTGTTAATGAAAAAGTAAACTCGTTTATCTTCCTAAAATTATCACTTAAATTTTTAATAATTTTTCCAGCAATTTGAAAATAAAAATAAGACAAAAATATGAACGAATGAAAAAACAATAATGAATGATTTTTAGCGTTCAAATTTGGCTGCTGCCATATATTATCAAATATAGTAGAATTCGAGGCCTGTTCGCATAACAAAAAATGAATTTATTCTATTAATAAAAATATATCTGTTAATAAGGAAATACAATATAATTCATACAAAAATTGCAATATTATAATTAAAAAACAAGAAAAATTGATATGTGAAATATAAAGGAAATATTATTACCTCAAATATATATTTATAATACAATATTATATTTAATCAAAAATTCCGTAATGTAATAAAATTATTAAAAAATAATAATTTTCGTAATTATATTATTTTCAAAAAATATCTTGTACTGAACACTAATAAAATGAACAAACTGATTTTTACAATAAAATACAGAAACATTTTGAGACAAAATTATAAATTCTACTTCTACTATCCTATTTTGAGACAAAATTATAAATTCAAATAACTCTACATTCAACATTCTTGTATGCAATAAATAATGAAAAAAAGAGCTGAATAAAGAGAATTAAAAACACTTATGAATATTATCAAACATGATAATGATTAATATAAAAATGCATCACAGCTAATGTAGCTAATTTTGTATTTATCGATCATTGAAGAAATTAAAATATAAAATTAATTTATAAAAAATGCTTTAAAAACAAGTGTGGTTAAGATTTGACCTCCAAGAAAACTATTATATTTTGAAAATATGTTCCGTAACTTGCGTCCTTCAATTACATAACATTAGTTCTTGTTGCAAAATATATTGAGAAGTCCTGAATTATTTTTTTCTGCCAGCTTTAAAATTCTATTACCTTATAACTGCCTCAGAGTAAAATTTTGTAATGTTTATTTAAAATTGAATCAAATATATCAGTTTTATATATATCTATATTTCCGAAATATTAACTAAAACTTCTATCTTTTAACTATTTATTGCCTAAAAATTACTTGATATTTGTGTAAATATCAGTAAGTAAAATATCAATTTAGTTTCTGGCTGAAAATATTATATCAAATTATTATACTTATTTTAGAATAATTTGTACATTTATATAACAGTATCATAATATTCGATAATAACATTTTGTAATATAAAGAATTTTCTTATAGAACAATTTAGATGAAAATCATAATACATTTGTTGTCATAATTTTTATCATAAAGTATTTACTTTTCATCAAACGCATTAAATTAAAATTAAAAATTCAGAGTTTAATATAATTTATTTTAAATCAATTAAATAATAAAGATTGTTGCAGAATTTAATGAGTATAGTTTAAAAAGAAAATATATTTTGAATTAATGTTATCTTTTTTTTTATTCAAATAAAATCAATTTTAAATGCGTGTATATATAATGAAGTAGAATTAACTGTACATACAACTATACTACTGGTATACTTGTATACATAATATGTGTGTATGTGTATGTATTACATAATTTATGTATATGATGTGCGTACGCTATATTTGCGTACATGTGCATGTTAAAGCACAGAATGTTGACAAAAATTTAATCTCTATTATAATTCTTGAGACTGAATTGTGAGTTAAAAGTCCTTTATCATTTTTTTGGATAAACAATTATCATGAGTTACAAATTAAAAAATTTGGCGAATGACGCGACGAATTACATTAATATGATAATTTTTTTAGAATATATATATTTTTATTTAAAATCTAATCATATTTGTTAAAATCCATGATTAATATAGTTTCTAATTCAATTAATTTACAAGTAAATAATATTAATATACATATAAAAGTAAATTTATATAAGTACTCATATATTGTTAATACATACATACATACATACAAATATGTATACATATATAAGATGTTTCATAATTCATACTATTTCTGAATAAAAAATAAATCAAAAAGTTCTGAATTATTATTTCCTGCGATACTAAACAAGAAAGGAATTATTAAAAAAATTTCCTGCAAATGTATCATTTTTTAAATGAACATATATTCGTGTAGACGTAGTTTATGGTATTACATTACTATTCGGTGCGAGCTGTTTATGGATATGTGTTTGTCTAAAGAAAGTTAATTAGATAAAATTTACTTCATAATTCCTCTTTTGTTAACCATACATCGCAGAAAAACATTCAGGCCTTTTCAGATTTTTTCATTCAGAATTAACTATGTAATTTGTGAATGTAAATTATGAAACACTCTGTATGTACATGCGAACGCATGTGTGTATACGTGTGTGTTCAATTTGCAATTAATTAGGGTATTTATTCGGATAAAAAATTAAAAAAAATCGTGAAACTTTCTAAAAAATTTTTTATATTTTATCAAAATTTTTGTTCAAAATTCCAGATAAAATTCAAAAAATTATTGATGTAACTTCTAGAATAAATCTTTTTATTGTTTTTTCTAACGTTTTAACTTATATAATTAAGACAACAATATAAAGATTTATTTAAAGTTTAAATTAGATTTAGATTTGAAAAAGTAGGTATTAAGTGGCTTTCATAAAATAAGTATTTTTCATTTAGAGAACATTTTCATTTTAATAATTTTAATTTCTAATAAAAATTATGTATTGCATAATCATTATTTTTCTGAAAAGTTAATATATATATATATATATATATATAAAACATATTTATAATAATATATATAATTTTAAATGCAATAATTCATAATCATATATATATTATAAAATAGTCATTGAATAACAAATTATTTATTGAATAGAGCATGTGTCTCTTTAGCATTTAATATGAATTTATTAGTCATAAAGTCAATCAAGGATAATATATGATAAGACCAATTTCATTTAAATGCTAAAGAAAAAAAATAATCACACATGTGTAGCACTATATCACTGTGTGTACTGATTGCTACTTTAATCATTCACAATATAATATAAGAGCAAAATTACAAAAGAAAATTTAGAGGCTTTTTAAATTTTAATAAAACTCAATAAAAATTTTTTGATCTCTGAAAATTGTAGAATTTGTAGATTTTCCTAAAATCCCTATTAATTGTTTCTTAATTAAAATTTCAACATAATTTTTGAATTATAACCAATTAAGAAAAGATAGAGATAGAGGGAGATATATATATTTTGTATATATTAAATTTTAAGTAATCAAATGGATGACAAAACAATGTTTTTCAATTTCACGTGGCATTTACTATAAAATTTCGACTTAAAACTTACAGTAGTTATGAAAATATGGTATAAAAATTAGAAAATTGCAATAAAGTCATATTTCTACTAAGGATAAATTGGTTTCACAAATTAGCCAAAGAATCTAGTCTAGAAAAAACCATTAACGATTTTGATATATCTATATATATATATATATATCTTTGTATAAATATTCATATTAAAAAAAAACATAAAAAATTTTAAGGTTTTAAGATATTTTTGTTAGGAAATAATTTATTTAAAGAGAGAGAAAGAATATGCGAGACATTGCGCATTGTTCTTGACAAATCATGACAAATTATCTGAAAAAATTATCTGATGATAAACTAGAAATATGTCAAAGATTAATTAGATTCTATTCTTTTATAATTTTCACATGTGCATGTGTGTGTATATATATATAATTTAATGCCATAAATATATGTAAAAAATGATAGTAAATGTAATTGCTATTAATCTATTAATGTCACATGTATAATTATAAAAGCAAGCTAGCTATATGTCACAATAACATTGAACAAAAATATCTAATGATTGTTAATTAAGTTGTGATTGAGAATATATAATGCACACACACATAAATATTATTATGTACATATATTCTCATGAATAGTGTTTGTAGCCATGCATCTCCTTTGTTTTCTTTTTCTTTTTGATAACATATTTTAATAGAATAAAGCATAGTAGAGTAAATAGTGTATAAAGTAAAATTTTGCATTTAATTTATACTTGCTATATATGTTTTATATATAAGAGAAAAGTAAAAAATATGTAATCTAAAATTAAGGAGAAAAAGCATCACTCCTGCATTATTACATTTACTTTACCTTGAAAAATGGTCGACGTTATTCTTTAATAATAAGATTAAAGAAATTATATATATAACAAATTATATATATTTTAAACAACGCAGCAATGTGTCTTCCCCCCTTAATATTGACAAATTGAAAGGTACTTTTTTCCAAGACATTAGCTATGTGAATATGACGATAAAATATAATCATATTAAAGTGATTATATTTTGTAATCATATATTAAAAATGTAAAACAAAGTATTCACAGCAGCAGCATACACACTCACTCTCACTCAAACTCACACATGCACACACGTACACACATGTACGCACAACACACTGAGTTATCCAGAAGATATTAACGACAAAATGACGGATTTCATGTTTGCAACAGAGATTCCTACGCTCGGCGTCTTCTACCTTAGATTTTGTCACGAGGTGGGTGGCCATTTTAACAACGGCGAAATTTCCCTTGCCAATAGTCTTTTCCAGTTCGTAATAACCGACACGTATGAGTTTGTTGACAGAGAATTCCTGGGAAACCTCATTGTGCGACGTCGGCGCGGATGCCATTTTTTAATCACTTGTCTCGCTCGTACTTAACTCTGCCAATTGCAATACTGGCTAGTACGATGTTACGCCGACAGAGGAATTAGAATTTTCCGCCGAAACTGCCACCTAGTGGTCACATAATTAACTATACATTTCGACCGATCAGAGAGAGAAAGAGAGAGAGAGAGAGAGAGAGAGGGGAGCAAACTCCGATTTGACAGCTGTCAAATCGGAGTTTCAATTCCATCTGGAATTATTAATATTAATTAATTAAATTTGCAATTAAGTAATATTACTTGATATAAAATAAAAGGATAATATGTTAGAACATCACTGACCAATCAAAAGCGATCATTTTGGAAAAGATAATTTCTTTCTGATGTTTGATGTTCCTGTCTATGTTGTTTTTTGTATCTATGGCGATTTCGTTTGACAATGTTATATTTGTCGCGTAGTTTGACAAAAAAATTAATTAATATCGAAGTCGGTGCAGCGAGAATCTTCAAATGAGGAAAGACGGAGAGACATGGGGAGCCGAAAAATTGGAAGCTCAGTTGGAAACCGCTCGCGATGGACTTCGCGGTCTCGAGCGAAGTATCCGTAAGATTATGGGCCGGGATCTTCCTGACGGCGAGAGTGGACCGCTTCAGCCGCCTAGGTTATATTTAATTCAACATTTTTCATTCGCTTTCTAATATGCATCGACGTAAAATCGTTAAAAATGCTTAAGATATTCGATGACAGCTCTAAATATATTCTAGATGTATTATGGAATATTTCATGTATGAATAATTTTTTTTCTCTTTTACTTAATTTCAACATGTCCGCGTTCGCGATGTTTAAATTATTTTTCAAATTATTTTTGTTATAAATATTTACACATTTTTTATGTCTGTTCTTTATTAGTTCAGAGTTTATCTTTTTTATCTAATATATGGAGTAAAAAAGATAAACTAAATTATTGCAGCCAGTTTGGCTATAACAATAGAATTATATTTATTAATTGCTGTTATACAAATTGTATTAAATTTAAATTATACATAATATTGATATAATGTATGTGCACACACACACACACACACACATATACATATTTATATATATATATATATATATTGGGGTTTTGTTTGATTTAATTAAATTTTTAGAATATCTCAAAAACGACCATTACAAGAAGATCGCCGGCGAGTTGTAACAGATTTTGTGAATAGTGAACTACCTGGAGGCAAGCGGCGATGGCAAAGTTCCACTGCGGAGCCAAAAACAGTTTTCAGTAGACTAAGCGCCCGTGTTCCATCCAATGCTGATGATAGCGCTGATGAAGATGATAGTGTTATCAAGGTAATAAGATTTGTGATTTAGTTTTGAAAATAATTACTAATATTATATATTTGCATATAATTAACATTTCCATGGCTGCAAATCTATGTCAATATATTCTCAGTTCCCAAAATCAGATTTCACAATCTACTCTATGGCAGATATATATATTTTAAGATATTAATATTTCATTTGTATTACATTAATTTTATACTGAAAGTGAATGATTTTAATCATAGATTATATTGCTATCAATATAAGCTTATTGTTAGCACATAATATTATCTACTTTTCTTCTTATATTTTGTATTTAATATAATATTGCTAATGTTATCTTATTTCTAATATTATAATTCAACGTGACTATATAATATAACTAGTAAGGAGTAGGAGCTATAAGATTGGGCTATATATGGTTTATATGATAAAATGATGAAATTTTTAATATTTTAAATTCTATTTTTAATTATCCAAGCATAAAATATTTGAAGACATGAAAATGTAACATACTTATTATGAAAATCCTCATTTTATTATTGATTATTATCATCCAAAAGTTAAATAATTCAAAAATGTGAAAATATACAAATTGTTCTAATAAAATTTTTAAGTTGACTGGATTATGTGATCTGAAGGCACCAAAAAGGAAATTTAAATGTACAAAAAGACAGCATATAATCAATAATATATATATATATAATTACTAAATTTCAATTTTATTCTGATAAGCATTTCTGCAATATTGGCTCTATGATGGTCCATTCTATTATATAAGAAGAATTATTTCAAAAACTTATAATTAAAAAAATTTTGATTGTTTTGATATACGTACATATATAGTTTTCATTTTTAACCATATTATTTTGTACATTATTCCATATATTTTGCTCGAGTATGTATATAAAATTAAATATGATCTAACATGTACCTTAATATTTATTAAGCCTGCTGTATCATCCAGAGTAATAGCCACTCCTCGAGAAATTCCTTCACGTCAAGAAGTTATCAGACGAGAAAGAACAGATGAGCGTAGTCGACAAAGAAATAAACGTATGTTTGGCGCACTCTTGGGTACTTTACAAAAGTTTAGACAAGAAGAGACTAAACTTAAGGCAAAGGTAAAATTGGTATTTAGATATTTAACAGTTTATAATATTCAATTAATAAAATTTTGTATCTTTATACATTAATTAATAGGAAGATAAAAAAGCAGAAGTAGAAGCCAGAGTAGAAGAGGCTAGGAAACGAGAAAAAGAAGAGTTACGAAAAGAACGACAACAATTATTTTTGTCACGGAAACGACAATTGGCTGAAGTACGCGTATTGGAAGCAAAACTCGCACGTAGTCGACAGTTTCAAGATTGGCGCAATGCACAGTTACCTCTTGCTTCATTTATAAAAACACGTGCACAACCTTCCATTTATTATGTACCAAAGCGCAAACATCCACAGACAGATATGTTATTAGTGCAATCCACAAAAGAACTTTATGGTTAGTATTTTTACAAATGAAAATGTTATCTTTATTTTATTTTTACTTTTATTTTTCACAATTTAAAGTTTTATTTATTTTAAGATAATATTTTATTTTATTGAAAATTTATTATTTTATATTATTGAAAATTTATATCTGTATTTGTGTGTGTGTGTGTCTGTAATTATTCATTTCTTTTTTTTCATATTTTAGATGAAATTGAAAGAAGAGAGAAAGCATTGGTAGAAGAACTAAATTTAATAGAGATGCAGGTAGGATTAGGCAAAAACTCGCAAAACTTTGAAGCTTCTACATCTTTACATATAATAGAAGCTCCACGCTCGATAGAAGAGGGTGAAGAAAATCGAGATCCCAATCCAGAACATATTGAAGCTCCAATAATTGATAATGCTGATGTTTCAATGCAGACTATAATAAATGAAAATTTTGATGATAATGATATGGAGAAAAAAGAAGAAGTACAATTGGATCAAGTTCAACAAGATGAAAATAATGGCTAGTATAAAATTTGCTATAATAAACAAAGTTCTACATACTTTTGGATGATTCAATAATAAAATGAGGATTTTCATAATAAGTATGTTGCATCTTCATGTCTTCAAGTATTTTATGCTTGGATAATTAAAAATAGTATTTAAAAGATTAAAAATTTGTCATCATTTTATGATCATATAAACCATATAGCCCAGTCTTTATAGCTCCTAGTCCATTACTATAGTCATGTTGAATTATAACATTAGAAATAAGAAGTTATAACTTTTTCTCACAATATATCCAAATGAAATGATTTTTTGTATCTTTCATGTTTGATAATATAGATTAATAAAATATGTATACACACAAAAAACTCGATTCGAGTTGACTTCGATTTGAGTTAACAAATAGTTCTTAACAGTTATTGAAAATATAAAACAAGTTTTAAACAAATATTTCATAATCTTTAATTTAAAGCACATTATGATAATATTTTTAAATTTATTTTCCTTATTATTTATATAATTAATTTTAAATCTATTTTTTTTTGTAGATTGAAAAGAGAAAGAATCGAACTTACCAATTTGATATCTGGCAACAAAACTTTCGAAGGAAAAATGTGAAATTGAATTTTGTTTTTGTTACATGTTCACGAAGTCTTTCGTGAAACATGTTTATCATTATGAGATATTTTGAAATGATGCAACTTCCTTGACGTATATATTGCGTCGTCGGTTTAACAAAGTAAAAGTTGTGAAACTTTTACATCACCACTAAACCGCAAATTTAATCGCTGATTTAAATACCCATAAGACTATGTGCAATTTTCATGCAAAAAATCTACAATATTTTATAGCATATATAAGACCAATTTTTTTTAACATACAAAAGTAATAGTGATATTTCGTATTTTATACATTACTAGCATTTCTTATACATATATTTATTTTTACAAATTTATTTATGTGCATATAAATATTACATAATATTATCTACAAAGATATGTTTGTATAATATCAATTTTTTTAAATAGGATATATATATATATATATATTATTTATTTACAAATTAAATATATCGCATACTGTTATTAAAATTCTTCCTTTGCACTGCTTATTGTTTAATAGTTTTGAGCCGATACTTACATATTTGTTATTTGAAATATTTCAAATTTGCTTTATATATTGGAAATGTAATTCTTAATTAAGATTCTATTTTCTTTAACTTGTTGTTAGTCATGATATCAAAAGCAGGAAATCTTATATATTTTCTTTATAAAAATAAATTAATTTTTTCGTATATTGCGCTTGTTTGTATGTTGGATTAGCAGCGTGGATTTATAAAAATATTTTAATTTTCTTATTGTTGTGCATTAACTTGTTTTACATTAGTAAATGTACATATAATTCTCTGCGTGTGTGCGTGTATATATATATATATATATATATATATATATATATGTATATATAATAATTTTATAAATTATATATAAAATTATATAATTATATATATATGTATATATATAAAAATCTTGATTATATATGTATATATATATACACAGTTACTTTATTAATCCACAATTTGCATACTAAAAATTTTTTTATTTCGCAAAAATGCAATGTAACCATTGGGGGGAACTATGTAGAAGTCTCAATTATCAACCTGTCACTATTTGTATAGATGATAATAAAAGCTTAATTTGACTGACAATGAGTTGATTAATGTGCACAATGTAGACGCACAAATGTCGAAATCATTTTCTCTTTTAATTTTAGTTTTTGAGATATTGTGTTATAAATTAAAATTTCTTCAACATAATTACAATGCGATTATATAGAAGTGTTCTCGCGTCTCGACCCCACAAAAAATCAATATGATTGAATTTTTCATACGGTACTTTCTTAACTTCTATAACGTTTGGTAATCTATTTATCAATTTTTGAACATCCTGAAACAATTAAGAAGTGTGAAACTTTTGTGAAACAAAAATAAGTTATTTTGATTTTATAATTAATCCCATATTATCTATCTTATGCATTTTAATTCTAGATATGTTTTTTTAAACGTGAACTCTTCGAAAACATATTTGTTCTACATTATTTTGTATGCAGAAGACTTAAAATGCATCCTATTAATGTAAAAGAAATTTAAATATCTCTTTGCATTTCAAAGTAAATTTTTGAAATATAAAAAAATGTGCGCATATGAATAGACACAATAGAAACGAGACGAATGCAATCTTAATATAATTTAACATTAATAGAAAAAGATAAGATTGTGTAGAACCTACCGTGTAATGTGTGAGCAAGTCATTGTCACTATAAAAAATCGCCACGGGCACTTTGACCCTTTCAAGATTATATTTGGGTGGTTGGGTGGATCCATAAAGTTTTAGATTAGCTTTAGCACCATAATCATATTTCCGAAAATTGCCTGCAAAATAAAAAAAATTATAAATTATATGCGCAGAATATCTAAATGCATAACTTTAATCGTCTCTTTCTTCTTAAAATAGAGTGTTAAAGAATTTATTATACAATAGGTGCCCTTGGCGAAAAATTGTGAGAGATATTAAGATGATGATGTATTAGTCCAACGTTATCTTACTCACCGGAGATTATTGATTGACCATAATGTACGATTTGTTTCATTGCAGCGCCTGCCGGAAAGTGTCCAAATATCAGAGGTAACATGGATTTATCGAGCTGATCGCTTCCGAATCCAGCGATAATGTAAAACCAGCAGCTGCAGAAGCCCTTCGTTACCGCGCAAGGAGCGTTACGTATAAGGGTGCTAAATATCCGCCCTTGCCACCTAATACGAGGGAAGAATTGGTGAAAGTTGAAAAAGTAGGTGCTCCACTGAAACACGTTTCATATAACGGTGAGTAAATCATGCATACTATCTCGTAGGAAAAAAGAGGTAGAAACAAATATGATGATGGGATAATATACATACATTACATATATATACATACATACATATATATACATACATACATACATATATATACATACATATATATATATATATATATATATATATATATATATATATATATTAATTATACCTCTAATATATCGTTAAAATGTACGAGAAATTTGAAGAGTGGACTTCTTTGATTTGATAAGAACGCTATAGGTGCCAGACTTATCATCCCTTTGATCTTAGCATTGTATTCGGGTCTTTCGCTCATCATAACGTAAAACGTGGTTGTACCCTGACTGTGACCGATATAATACAATTTGGAATGACCGGTTTCTTCCAAGATATAATCTATCATCGCTGGTAAATCATAATATCCGATCTCGTGCCAGCTGTAAAAGAAACGTGTAAAATTGAGTTTTTGTATTTTATTTTCTACATTTATTTTTCTATACTTTAGTCACTTAAAGATGAGTTACTTAATAAATACCTGAAATCCCAAAACTCTTTATCCTTGGTCGAGTAATGTTTATGGTCTTTAGAGTAGATATTTCCACGAGCATTTGCGAGCCAAACGTCGAATCCATTGTCGCAAAGGACATATGCTGTAATATAAAAGAGTTAAATGAGAGAGATGATTTTTTATTTATATTATTTTACTAATAAATAATTGTCACCCTTGTTGAAATCATCGAAAGATAAATACTAGTATTTGAGCGAACGATTAAAATATAAATAATAAAAAAGTATTAATAAAAATAAAAAATAAATGAAATTGGTACTTCTTTGAAATAAAGAGATAAGAAAGAATTAGTGAAAAATAGTGACCGAGAGCTTTGTGAGGTCCCAGTAGCACCCAATCTGCAGAACAGGATACGACTCCGTGGTTTACAATAACCGGCAATTTCGAGCCTGCACCGGAAGATTCACAGGCTTCCTGGATGCGATGATAATCGGAGGAAGTTGACGAATTAGAATCTTCGCTGTTGTTATCGACAGCAGTCGTATTTATAATAGGGTCAGCATTTAATGGCACTCGATCATTAGATGAAAGTACACGATGCACGCTCAAACAATAACCATCCTCTGTCCAAATGTGGTGGGTTTCGGATATGTAACCGTGAGCTTGGATCAGTTGAGGCTGTAATTATTTAAAATAATCATGTGGCATCTGTGTGTGTGCTTATCAATGAATTATTTTATATCTTTGTCTTGTTCATTAATTAATATACTGTATATTAATTAATATATATTAATACACACATACATATATTAATAGATTAATTAATATATATTAATATACATATATTAATTTATATTAATTAATATATATATATATATATATATATATATATATAAATTGTATAACTTTAATCGAGCTAAAATTGTATAAGCAATAAATAACAAACTAGACGCGCATATATGAATTATTTTTTTAGCAATCTTAAAATGTTATAGATGTTCCTTAAACTTTATTCCCGCACATGTTTGAATCTTAAGAGAAAATTTTAAATTTGAATGTGGTCAAATATTCAACATATATTTGCAATGATAATTTGCGAAAATTTCCTCAAATAATAATAGAATATATTATATATCGGTATATGCAAAATTTATATTTTTTTAAATATAATTTTAAAATATTATTTCAAAGAAAAAGCTATTTCAAAGTTCACTTCATATCATATTATTAAAAAATTTGCAATGGAATAATATATTATTCATAGCATTTTATATAAGCGTGTTTGAAAGAATTTTGATGAATTGTTAAAGACTTTTTTTATTTTGCTCCTAATTACATTTTTATGGGCTGTAGAAGAATGCGGCATTTATCATAAGTGTTAAAGAAAGTTTTCATTTGGCTTGCACTCTGGTCAAGAGTTAAAATTCATATAAAAATTGAATAGCCAAGCGCTATTAGGAATCAAATGCGATATATAAAAACTAAACCACACGTGATATTGATCCAAGATTTATGACTTACTATTATCGGGTATCTCAAAGCAGAATAATTTAATTTAGTTCGTGATGTGTGTCCCGAGAAGTTTATTCAATTAGCTGATGAAATGTCGCACCAAATGTGACGTTTTTTATTTTGAAAGCGGAATTGCACATATCAACGCGGAAATAAATTATATTTAAACTTACTCAAGGTTAAACAAGTCTGTTATGAAAGAATGTAATTGTAAACGTAAACTCTGTTGTGAAACAATGTAATTGTATACGTATTGTGAATTAGAGTGCAACAGCCATTGCAATTTTACGTTATTAACTTGATGACAGAATGCTCTTAAAGAATTTAAGATTTACTTAAAATGCTGCATAATTCGCGATTAAGTTTGCGATAGAGAATGTTGTTTAACTATTTTATGCATCATGTACATTTTGATATACCATGCATATATATACATTTGTACATATATGTATTTATCTGTATTCTAACGTGTATATATTAATTTTATTAATATATTTATTTGTTTTTAGTATTTCTTATAAATGTGATTCTTTCGTAAAATATTGTTATAGTCGATTTAAATCTATCACAACTTTATAATATATCAATTAGTATTTAAAATAAAAAATCCAAATATGATATTTGGATTATAAAAATCAGTTTTAAATAAAATTTCCGGGATATTTGTAATAAATTTGGCATTATTTCAAAAACAATTAGTTAGATAATTCAAAATTTTAAAAAACTCAAAGCTATGAAATAAAATAAATGATTTATTAAATATACATATACCAATCGTATATATTAAAAAATTCCATGCAAGGAATATATAATTATTGACAAATTCATTTCTGATGACTCTTCAATCAAGATTATAATATAATTAAAATTTCGTAATGGCAATTAAATGTTAAAGCATTGGTATGTTAAAGTTAGTGTGTCAATATAAGATACATGTATATTCAAAAATATTCTAATTAGTGTATTTTATATCAAAATATATGGTGTATAGAGAATAGATCTTATTTGCTTTTTAGGACTTTGGACATTTACATATAGTAGAATAAATTCTCAAGAAAATACTAAAAGGTAAAAAGCAAGTAAATTAACGCTTATATAGCAATATATATATATAGTAATAAATAAATTTGTGTATTATTATATTTTTTGTATTACACGATATTATACTTTTTGTTTTATATGATTTATATTTATGAATTTTTTGCATTCGAAGTAAATCACGTATGTATCATGCATTTTTAATTGCGAAAGAAGAAGAAATAGACTATGCAGAAAAGTATAAAGAAATAAATTGAAATATGTATCTAATATATCTATTGTATAATAGCAAAAGATAAACTTTAGCATGCATTTTTTATCTTTTTATAAGATAAATTGAATGTAAAATTTCTAAAATTTAGATTCTAACAAAAAAGTTTGTTGTCGTCCTCGGAAATCAGGTCAGGTCTTTGATACCTGATAACAATAAGTAAAACACTTCTGACAGGCTAGATTAGATTTTTTAATAATTTTATTAATTAGCAAAGCAATTAAAAAAAAATTAAATCATTGAAAAAGAAGAAGTAAACTCTAACAATTTTTGAAAGTTTTTTCTTGTGTGAGTTAAATTAATCTCTATTGAATTATTTTTTCAAAGAGATATGATAATATAAAATAAATTATAATTACGATAAAAAAGAATCGGAATGTTTTGTTAGCGAAATAATTTCGGATTGAGCCGGATTAATCTTTATCTTTGATTGAAGAGATATTTGGCGAATTTTTTATCAGCTGATTGAACTTTTTTCTGGATTATGACTTTTTTCATTTCTTCTATATAATGTAGTTTCTTTATATATATAATTCAGTTTATTATATTTTTTTATAATTTATACCCTATTAATATTTTTTTGCTAATTTAATTGTCTATATATTTTTTATTACTCTACATTTTATAATTAATTATTATTCATTGTCATTGTGCTAATTGCAGTTCAAAGTTATATTCATCAGGGTTGACATGTTTTAAACAATAAGCTTAAAACTGTTTGATTAAAATTTGTTTTAAACAGTTTTAAACTGTATTGTTTCATGAAATAAAAATAATAAAATGAGTATTATTTTAGCAGAATATTTATTTTTGGGTATTAAATAACAATATATTTTTTTGCTTGTTTAAAACATATGTTTCTTCTTACTTTAATGAAAAACGCAAAGCAAAAAATATTATTTTAAACAAAAAAATGAATGTTTTTTGTTTAAAACAAAACAAACAAGATTTTTGCCAATCCTTAATTATATGATATTAGTTCTGTAATGGTCCTTTTGTATCGTAATTTATTTGTGTACGTGTGTGCAAATGCACATGTACATAAGTAAAAACCTGTCTCTTTTAAAAGAAAATATAGGTAAAATTATGCTTACATATTTAAATTTTTAAATCGAAAAAAAAATGAATTACTCGAGACACTTGAAGAGTCAATGTTCCGATATATATATATCTGAGAATAAATTTTATATTCTTTGTGTTTAAAGTGAATTCTTTCACTTTACAATTTCACGTGTGGGCGTGTACATACATATATACATATTATATCATATATATTTATATATGACACGTCACTATTAATAACCATGAATATTATGCAAAAAACGATAAAATATATATATATATATCAAGAAGATCAAAGTACAACGCCGATAAACATGATGACAGATCAGACAGTTATATCTTACCGTTGTCATGTGGGCCTCATTCTGCCTCGCCGCTCCGTCCATGCCACCGTAAAATCTTTTGCGGAAACCTCTCGCAGAATGACTTTGTTTTATCTTTAAAAATACACGCGATTTCCTTGTATCTCCTCTGCTTCCTTTTTTTCTTCGCGCGGCAGCTCACGTGCGAGCTCTCGAGAAAGCGGCCCCGCGCGAAATCGTCCGTCGCGGAAAAGAAACTGGAGTCTCGTCGTTTGTGCGTTTGAAAAAGAAACGCGCTCGGTGAAAGGCGGCGCGCGACTTCCTCCGTCTTGAAGCGATTGCGCCAAAATGTTTGCGGCCAACGTCAAGGACACACGGGAAGGGTCCTTTCTCTCTGTGTCTCTCTCTGCTCCGAAAAAGACACGTTATTGTTGTTGTTTACAAAGCGCGAATGGAACGAAATTGCGTGTACGATGCGCGCGCAAGCACACACCGATTCCGGAGCTCTTATTGTCTCGTAGAAGACACGTGCGAGGACCAGTCAAGACCGTGAGGAACTGTCAACGTGAATGACGGAGTTTACGGTATATATACGCACGTGTACAGGGCTGTACTGTTAAAATGTGAGGTAGGATATGTCACTGAAAATTATAAAAATGTGTCAATTCAAATTTGATGGAAAATTTGTCATTTTATTTTGCTCCAAGTAAATTCGTTTATTTTTGTAATTTTCTCCTTGCTTGTTATGTTCTGTGATATATACAATTCGGTTTTTAGGAAAAAGGTTTGTTATTTGCGCATGAGATTAATTGAAAATATATATTTTTATTTATCAGAAATTTTTTTTGTTTATACACATATCGGTGTAATTTTATATAGATTCAGATTTTTTTATATAATTTTATTCCGGGTGCCGAATGTTCTGTGTTCGGTTCTGCGCGCTATTCATAAATGTATAGGAGTGTACCCATCAATTTTCCACGACAAACAAGCGATAAATTTTATATCTGCTCCGCTGAATGTGAACGAGGAAAATCATTATGCGAAAAGAAATTATAAAGGAGAAGAAGACATGTAATTATTTGCAAAAGTGGGCTAGTCAAAAGGCTAATGATCAAATAAATAGTTTCTTTAGCTGCTACATAATTATCGTGTACGATAATATTAAAAGCAACGATGTGTATTAAAAGCAATATAAATTAAAGAACGCATTTATTAATAAACAGTTCACAAAATCACGAATTATCGAATTTTTTGAATTCATGTTTCTCGAAATTAATCGATAATTATATCATTTATTTTAAAAGAAAAATGTTTATTGATAATAAAAAATTATGAATTTATTTGATTTTTGCTTTTTATATAAAATTATAAAAATTATGATACATTTATAATTACGCCACATGTATATAATGTGTAAATCACAAATGCGGATTATAAAATATGTGGGTTATATTTACATAAAAAGTCACGCATTGAATGATATATATACGTGCAATAACTCCGAAATTTTCTATATTTAAAGAAGAAATTCCAGAAATGATTTAACAAATTTTCGAAATTATCGAGCATATTGTTCGCTTGAAAATTGGAAGGATACAATCAACTCGATAATAAAAAAATCGTGCTCGTATCATATATTGTAAAAATAATCTCCATTTATATTGTATTTTCGATTATTTATATCACAAAGTATAGAAAGAAACAATCGAGAGGAATGCAACTCACGCAAAAACCAATCGAACCCCAAAGTACGCGCGCGAAACGTCATTGGTGGGAACGCAGGTAGTACCAATATGGCGCAGCCAATCGGACGCGGCGCGCGTTCTCCAGGCAGTCTCCTCTCTCCCTCGTTCACAGTTTCGGCGCAGGCGCGCGCGCGTGCGCACACGCCTCCCTGCCGCGCGCGCATATACCGTTTGTCGTCAAGCGAGGTCGCCATGATTGTTTCGGCAGCGTTGCGCCGACCGGATCGAGGGGATTCAAAAACACTTCCATTTCCCGAGGCACCGTAGACGGGTCTACGTCCTGCGCGTTTCACGCTGCGCGCTGCAATGGCGGTGTAGACGTCTCACGGAGGGTGCGGGTGTCTCGCTTTCTTCAGGTGTAAGTGAGTAAACCCCGGGTCTCTCGCCCGATTTTCGGAACTCTCTCGACGCGCCGCGGAACCGTCGTCTCGATCGACTCCGCGACGCCGTCATCGGCGTCCTCGTGCGCGCGCGATAGTGCGTTGTCACGACGCGAAAGAAGGAGCTCTCGCCTCTCTCTTTCTATCTCTCTCTTTCTTTCTCTTTCTCTCTTGCTCGCTCTCGCTCCCTACTCGCGCGCCCGTTCGTACTTTCGAGAATCTCTCCCTCGCTCTCTTTTCCATATTGAACGAATTCGCCGATTTCGCCCGCGTGTCTTCGCGCTCGCTCGGGATCCCGAAGAAGACCTCGTGGTGCCTCGACGAGGAAACGCGACCTTCTGCGTGTTTTTCGATCCGATGAGTGTCAGGTTAGGACGTGAAGGTCGAGACCGCGTGTTTGCAAATTGTTCCTTCTCCCTTGTTTTTTCAATCTTTTTCGCGCGAGACGCGATCCACGGAATTGTGCTTGTAATTAATGATTAGGTTAGATTGTGATGTGATTCGATCGCAAATAATTCTGGTATATCGGTAATAAGAGCGGTAAACTCCCGTTAGAATGCTAATATTCTTCCCGCTCTTATAACGATGAGTTCTTATTATATCTTCTTTGTTCCGCTTTTATTAGACGTATCCACCATCGAACCATTAATTAGCGTGAGTCTGCGAAAATATAAATTGCTCCTATTACAATTGCATAATGTAATCGATTACAATTATTGAAGTTATTTTTTTCCTTCACCTGAAAGAATTATTAGTGTACATATATTTATATCCACTGAACAACGTTTTCGTGATATTCAAATATAAATATAAATTCAAATAATATATGTGTATATATATATATATGTAACATTCAAATAATATAATTTTATTATATGGAAATAATATACTTGATACAAATAATAATCTATATTTTTGTGATAATGAAATAGCTTCATTTAGGAGCGGATCAAGGTTTAATATAGTAATTCATTCTTGTTGCAGATTGTGCGCTGTGTCTTGCTATCTGAATGGACAATAAGGTGGATGTTTCGGAAGTTGAAAATATTTCAATGATTGGAACATCTGGAATTTTTCACCTGCCTGACGTCCCAGAGATATCGGAGGTATTAGAATCGACTGGCCTTAGCCCTTTAACTTCTTCCTTGGATCAAGCTCTAACGCTGCAAGAAGATAAATCTCTCTCATCTGAAGTTAACATGGGCATTGAAGATACATGGTAAATATATTTTATAAATATATTTTCTTTTTAAATTTTAAGATACTTTGTGCCACGAATCTAATCTTCTTTAAATATCTTTACAGGACTGAAGCAAACAGTTCAACGTCAGATTATGCGATTCCTCTTCCTCCGCCACCTGGATTAAATGATTTCTCGGATGTCGGTGCTGATCCTATTGATTCTGGGACAGGCATAGAACATGGTCCATTTCTGCCACCTGGTACACCAGCGCTTAACAATCTTTTTGCAGAGGCCGGAGATTCTCATGATGACTCGCCAATGGGTGAGTTTATGTAATGTAATATCCGAAATATAACAATGTCATATGCCAATAATATATGAGTGACATTTTTATTCTCTCTTTAATACATATATTTTCAGAAGTAGTCATCTTGCCTGCAGGCGTGTGTGGTCTTCGTAACTTGGGTAATACCTGTTTTATGGCAGCTGGGTTACAGTGTTTAACCGCAACTCCTCCTGTCCTACGACATTTCTTGGATTTACAGCAGAGAGGAGAGAAACTGCCTCCGCCTGGATCATTAATGGCACACTTTAGCGTACTCCTCGGGAAAATGTGGTCTGGAAGACACAGTGTACTCAGACCGACAGAATTTAAACAGACTTTAGGTGCTTATCATTCACAATTTAAGGATTATAGGCAGGTAAGTGTGTAATGGTTTGCTCATATTCAATCGGTTATTTATCACTTATTCGATATAAGATTGTGTTGTATATATTTAACAGCATGATTGTCAAGAATTTTTGGCGCTTCTATTGGATTCCCTCCATGAGCAAATGAACACAGCAAAGTGTGCCAAGAACTGTCAAGTTCCATTGTCTACGACCACTGCCAATTCTTTTAACTCTATAGAAAATTCAAATGGAAAGACCCTTTCTCCTATCACTGCCACAGCTAATCCCAATTCAGATCTTTTGGAAATGTACGAATGTTTATCACCAGAATGTCCAAATAGTCCTAATGTAACTATGGCGGGTTCACCAAGAGGTAAGAGACTACATGATGTATGTATAATTATATTAAACTTGAAATATTGCATCTCTTTAATGTTATTTTTCTATATTTTATCAGACTTCGATTCGTCAATTGGAGAGCTCGATAGTATCACAAATTCACCGAGAGATTCACCGTTAAATGGCGAGGACGACGAGGAGACACTAGATTCAGACGAAATTATCGAGGCGAGATCGAACACATTTATTCACAACAAAGTGAACGAGGAGGGCACAAATGAAACCACTCCGACGCGATCTTTGAGATTGGACACACTGATCGAACTGTCGAAAACTGTGCCGCAGTACGGTGGCTTATACGATATTCACAAAGAAGCTAAAACCAGTAATGCTAATTTCTTAGTAACGCAACAAGAATGTAATAACGAGATCCATTACGACTCACAGAAATTTCCAAAGGACAATGTCCGCAGGACGCCGCTAGACAATTCGAATCTTATGGAAAATCACGACTTTGATAATAAAAGTGTCAGTATCAAACGTATTAAAGAGGTGAATGTTCAGAAGGTCAACGGTAGTCTTGATCACGCGTCCAACAGTTCCGACATCGAGTACGACAGCGGTCTGGAAAAATGTAACGTTAAACGCATGAGACTGGACGACCAGGAGAAGAATCACAAGCACGACAGTCTCGGCAATGAGAACACTCAGTGCTCGCGGATCCCACAAAATTATGGTACCGGCGCTATCGCTGCGCAAGAAGAGATCGAGGCGGATAAGCACTGGGTGAAGCACTTGCGATCCAATAAAAGTATCATCGTTGACACCTTCCAGGGCCAATTTAAGAGCACGGTAAGAATCTCGCGAGTGATATCATTCGTCTATGTGGGAGACTACGCGTTGGAGAAATACCGTGAACTATCGGTATTTACTGTAAAAAGTCTCCTATATTAAGTTGTAGTAATTTTCCATCCTACCTTGAAAAATAAGAGGTAGGCTTCATATTACTATTACAATTGTTTTCTCCAAATATATATATATAGTATATAATATTAGATTATATGTTACAATTATGTATCATATATTATACTAAATATATATTATAATATATAATATATATTATAATATATAATATATACTAGTATATATATTTTATTAAATTTTTTTTAGTTTAAATTATTCCACTGCGAATATTTATGATTTGAATATATTTACAGGTAGTGTGCTCGGTTTGCAACCATGTCTCCGTTACATATGAACCTTTTATGTATCTATCGGTACCTCTACCTCACGCGATGGAGAGACAGTTAAATGTTACATACGTTCCTGCAAATGGTGATCAACCCATGAGGTGCGTCGTTTCCTTAAACAAACAGTCGCGAATTGGTAAATTGAAAGAGGAATTGTTAAAAACGCTTGGCAAGGAGAATATCTCGATCACGAATATTGCACTTGCGGAGGTTTTGGAGTATCACATAGCGAAGATTCTGGTAGGTACGAAAAAAAAACATTTTTACATTTTTAGTATAAACTTATTTCAACTCGAATTTTATTCGTATCAATAATCATTTTTAGTTCATTAGTTATTTATTTTAAAAATATATAACGAAAATTGTGTCTGCGAATTACAGTTAATTGCGAATTAAATATAATTTATATTTAATTATATTTGATTTTTAAAGGTCTTCAGTAGCGTTGCTATTATCTTTTACAGGAATTTAGCGTTAACCACACTAAAAAAAAAAATTGATTCTGAATAAAAAATTGATCCCTGAATAAAAAATTGATCCCTGAATAAAAAAAAATTAGGATTTAATTGTCGCTTTATAATCGAGTTCTATCCGAGTCAAGACATACATATACGCTGTTAGGAAATAATTTTGGAGAGTTAAGAAGGTGGTATATTCGAATAGAATCGATTATCGCCGATACCATTCTCCTAAAGAAACTCTGCGGAAGAACATTCTCGTAGCGTGAAAGATTTAGCTACGGGACTACATTTCATCGCACAAACCGGCCGATTTTTTTCCTCTTTATTCTTTCTCTCTTTCTCTCTCTCTCTTTCGTCACACTTCTCTTTCTCTATTATAATTTCGCTCACGCCGTCGGTCTTTTACCGTTCTTGCTTTTTACTATATATTATTTTCCCCTTGCACCGTAGGTATCGAGAATTACTTGCTTGCCGTAGCTTATCGTACTTAGACGGAAACATCTACTCACTCTGTTGGATTCTACATCAAGGTTTTCAATTTAAGGATGACAATACACTCTTGAGACACATCAATGATACGAATCGATCGATATACGCCTTTGAGCTTACGGAACCTCCCGATGCGTACACTTCAGTATCCGATGGCGGCGGGGATCGTCCGATGGAGGTGGATTGCCAGAAATGTACGATAACGGGCGAGGAAGTGCCATGTATGATCTGCCTTGAGGAATTGGATGGCGATTTGAAGAGGCACACTACGAATAGCTGTAACTTCGTCGTGTGCGATCCTTGCATTGAAGTAAGTCTATATCGTCTTGTTCAAAAGCAAAGAATCCTGCACCAAGGATTTATATAGGATTTTGACTTTTGGTGGAATTGTCTCTTTTCCCCTCTTTTATGTTGTAATTTATGTCCTGTTGAAAAATGTAATAGCCTCAAAACTAAATATTGGATAATTATTGAGTCTTACTAACTGTGTCTATTATTTAGCTTTGAGCCTATTACATTTTTTTTGTTCAGCAAATCATAAGCTAGAATATATGAGAAAACCAGCTGATCTTACTAAGATTCAATTTTATTTTATGATTAGTACGGGATTTTTGAACCTATATACAATATCCTAGATGAACTTGAATCTCGGTAAAATCAACTGATTTTCTCACATGTTGTAACTTATACCTCGACTTATAAGCTCGAAGCTAAATAATAGATGGTTACTGATTTACAGCCAGTCACACGAAAAACTCGAACTTTGCGAGTTGTTTGACTGACTGTAACTCAGTGACTATCGAATATTTAGCTTTGAGGCTATTATATTTTTTGTTCGACAAGGTATAAGCTACAACATATGAATATCCTATTTCACCGAAAGACAAAATCTTATTTGATACGGGATCCTTTATAATAAAATCAAAATATACATTTAACTAAATGATGAGATGCACTTGTATTAATATATCTATTTATTATCATCACGGATTGTTATAATTCTTGATTCAATTAAAATATAGTCATATGATTTATAATTATAATTAAATATAATATCTACTATTATTTTTCTGTCATGATTGCGATTACCCCCATGATGAGATGTGGCAGTCATAATCTAATGGAGGGGACATACAAACGGAGCATATATATTGCTATATTTAGTCCCGGGAAGGTCTGAGAAAAGATCATTGAACGTTCTAGACGGGCGGTATCGCAATGATACGTACGAGAACCAGAAATAGCTTTACGTTTTCCAAAAGCCTGGGACGCTTTTTTTAACAGCAGAGGCGACTGGAAACGAAAAGTTGGAATCTCGTATGATCCGCTTTTTCAGTATAATCCATTAGGCAGATATTCATACCTGGTACTCCAGGTATTTATATCTGTAACTCAATTCAGACTAATATCTTGCTGTCGCAAACTGAGGGGTTTTATTTTATATTTTATTTATTGTAGTGTCTATAGTTTTAGTGAAAATAAAAGTTTTTACAATTGCATCGAATCAAAGCCATTTTTAAACTTATATACTTATTGTATTATATACTCGACAGAATTACTTCAAGAATCATTCGGAGCCTCAAACGTGTCCGATGTGTTCCGCGTATATGACAGCCTCGTCATTTACGAAGATAGATCAAACGGGCCGGCCGAGACCTATCGTACGTATTTTGAATGTACCTTTAGTGTTGAGGCACGACACGACGAATGAGACGACGAACAATCGCAAAAGTACGAAGCTCTTCGGTTATCCCCACCTGATACGACTCCCGTCGAGGGTGAACGCACGAGATCTATACGATATCGTCAAAAAGAACGTGCCGCACGAAGGATGTTACACAATTCATTTCGTCGATGGACAGGTGAGATATCTTCATCTTGTATGAAATGTACTTCATTTTTCTTTAAAGTACAAATTAAAAAAAAATATTTGTTTATATCAATAAGGTAATTAATGGATTATATAAATTAGAATTGAATTCATTATATTCGAAATACGAAAAATATATCAATAAAATGATTAAATAGCAAATTTCAAAATGACAGATAGTGACACATGGTTGATATTTAAATATTTTACGTAAAAATCTATAGTGTAAATCTAAATTATTAAAACATATTGTATATTAAATTATTAAACATATTGCTATATCGAATTAATTAAGAAAGACAAACATTGCTTGCAGGGTCATCATTGTTCACGATGTATGTACACTGCGCATTGTACAGGATGTAGTGTACCTGAGACGGGAATGGTCGCATTACAAAACGGTGATACGCTTGCGGTTCGTTATACCGAATATGTTCCTAAGATCTTGCCTCCCGTTGATCACGTTAGTGTCAGTAAACAACGGCCGCATCATCCACTATCTCTTTACGATTGCCTTCAAGCATTTAGTCAGAGGTAACTACTGTGACTATTTTAGGCATTTTTGAATAAGCGAAATGTTATATTAATGACTTTTCATGGCATACATTACAATGCCTTATATAGAATAAATTACGATAGCGTGCATACATTATTTTATATATATTATTATTTTGTTAATTCAACTGTTATAAAAATATTATCTTAATACTTTGATCATAATCTGCTTTTTAGAAACTCAATAATGTAAATTATTACACTTGGTAAAAAAATAAGAATTATATGTTTAAATAAATAAAAAATAAATAAAATAAAAAATAAATAAAATAAAAATTAATAAATCTATAAAATATTTTTGTTAATATTTTCAATATATAGAGCGAAAAGTCGCTTATATTTAATCAATGTTCTCTTAAAGTCATTAAGTACAAAATATACAATATTGAGAATAATTTTATACATTAAAATATATGATTGGTACATATTTTGTCATGTTTAATATATCATACTTTTGATATTTTCAGTGAAACGTTAGACGAACATAATCCTTGGTTTTGTCCGAAATGTGGATGTAACCAATGTGCTACAAAAACGCTTACGGTACATCGATATCCCAAGTTCCTCATTGTTTATCTTAAACGGTAAGACTCATTATGTGTTTACAAAAATGATTGTAAAATAGATCGATAGATTAAAAAAAAATATCTACTATATAGTAGATAACTCAAACATTGTTCTTGATTGTAGATTCGTGTTTTATGAATGCGCGAGTATGAAACTAGACGACAAGGTCACATTCCCTTTGGTGGGTCTGAGCGTGGGACGTCACCTTTATGATCTCTATGCCTGCGTGTGCCACTTTGGAGGTATGTAAGATCCCAAATTAAAAGCGATTAATACAATGAAACGAATATAACAGAATGACACTATAGCATTGTTATAGCAGTTTAATTATTTAAAAAAAATTTAAACACGCATTTCTTTTAAAATATCTGATGTGATTTTTAAATGTTTTTTATCTTTTAATCTAAAAATATTTTTTGTTTTTTAAGATCGATTTAATTTACGCATTTAGGTGTATGAAGTTAACAAAATATTCGTTTCATATGTCAAAGGTTATAATCGAAAAAAATTTCAGGCGTCTCCGCGGGTCATTATACGGCGTATGCGAAGAATCCTCGTACGGATGTGTGGTATTATTACAATGACGAGATTACGAGCAAACAGAAACCACAGGATGAGGATTTTAGCAACGCGTACATATTGTTTTATAGTCGACAAGGGACCAACTTGAAACCGTGCAATATATAACAAGTGGTATATTTAACTTGTTAGCTGATAGAACACGTCGATCAGACGGAGGAGGAACAATCGGGGGATAGTGGCGAAAAAAAAGGATAAATGAAGTATAATGTAAGGGGGAATTTATATTTTGTGTTCTTCCACGTGTTTTTCATTACGAACGTTTACTCGTGTATTTCTCATACGTTTGCAATTTTTCTCTTTATATATTTCGTTGCGCTTCTATTTCCCCTGCATCTCCCTCTCTCCTGCCTCTGCTAGAATTTGTATTTTAAAAGTGCAACAGTATCTCTGATGATGACGCTGCGCGTTGCGTTTGCATTGGATCAAATGAAATATCGATAGCCATTGCTATGGTGAGTTTCTTTCATGCAATTATGAAGAGAAAACTTGTCCTCGCTGGTTTTGATATTCTGCGCTAGTGCAGCTTAGGCCTGATCTATTTCACGAGAATTCAGAGAGAGAATTGAGCATATTTGTATTGCATATATTGTAAACGTATGTTGAATTTGTACAGTAGACGGTTAAATGTAGAACTCAAGAATTCTAAACACGTAATTTATTAGTGATTAAAGGTGAACGTCTTGAAGAAGTCAGACTTAAATTACGGCTCCCTCCTTTTATTTGTGAGCCGGAGAAACGAGAGGATTTTGCTCATGAATAGCTAAGTGTTGCGCTTATATCCGATATTTCTTCGTTATCGTTAAGTGAGAAAACATGGAGGGTTATAAAGCGAGATAGAATATTAAACACATTTTATGAAACGCAATCACGTTTATGGATTATTTATTAAATTAATTATATTGCAATTTTATTACAAGACACATACTAGTCGTAGTTCATGCGCTTGTATTAGCGCAGCATCGATTTTATATATATATATATATATATATATATATATATATATATATATATATATATATATATAATACGGATGTTTCACGCGCGGATCGCTATATAAATTGTTTTAATATACTATGTTGTAACTATCATATGTATATATGTGTGTATACGCAATCAGAATCGCTTTTCAAAGTTTTATTTATTGTAAAACCAATTCGGTGGAGGGGAAGTTTTCGAACACTTTTTTTCTTTTTTGTATAAAAGACCTATCATCCTGGTAAAAAATTTTCATATATAATTATATATAACAATATAAAATTATATAGAATATAAAAAAATAAAATTCTGTTAAGTCCTATAAGTTTCTGTATAATTATATATCATTTTATATGTATATATATATGTGTGTGTGTGTGTGTGTGTGTGTGTATATATATGCATATATATATATATATATATATATATATATATATGTATATATTTTAGCTAATCAACATTAACATAAAATTATATATAATTATATAATAACTTATAAAAATGATATATAATTATGCATAACTTATATAGAATTTTATATATATATATTTTTATATAATTTTATATTGTTATACATGTTTGCATATAAAAACTTTTTTAATGGGATGTACTATCGTTGCGCTATAGCGATTTTCTCGGATCGTAAGATAAATCTAGCAGACCTGGCCTTTTAATCTCTTTTTTTCTATAACGAATTGCATACTAAATGACATACTAAAGTCATCGTACAATTTTATCGAAATACATATAATAACATACATATAATCTCTTTATTATACGCAAAGTAATGTACAGCAGACGACATACGATTATTCAATGCATTTTTTGCAGCAAAAAGCAGGCCTATAACTAATGTGCTAATATGATGCCTCATCTAAACAATAATAAAGATATATAAATTTGTGTACATATATGCCTGCGGAAATATGGCGGCGGTTATTAAAGAAAGTTGAAAGAGAAAGTGAATATAGAATAAAAATTCGGATAAAATTATGCGCGTATTACAAAAAGAATAATTTTTTAATAGTACGTATTTATTAATCGGTCATTCTTATTATTTGCTCTACTCAATACGCGCACTTTGCTGTACATTTAATATAGTAGCTTGTTTAGTTTTTTATATTTGTGTTATATTTACGTTAGATATATTTTTCGTTTCATTATGTTTCGCATTTTTCTATTATAGCCATCTTCGTCGTTTGTTTCCTATCATTCGTTATCCTCACACACTCAATTTTATGACACGTGTAATGCTTTCATCTTCTCCAAATAAATATTTTCAGAACGAATGTATCTCGTATTTAAATCAGAGATCGAAAAAGTTTCAAATTTTGATGCGACAGAGATATGCGGAGAAAATACATTAATCGTCGCTTTTTAATCGAATATAAAGAATTTTTTCAGGCATTTGCAGTCTTGAAATTCGAAATCTTTACTGAAAATATATCGATTTCGATATCTGATTTAGATTATTCGTGTGCATTAGAATTGCTTGTAAATTAAAGAAACAGCAACTATATTCGTAATGTTTAATTTGACAATTTTATTTGATATGTTTTGAGAACAATATATTTTAATTTTATCAATTATCATAAAAATTTTCTACAAATGAGAATTATCTTACAGATGAAATTTATTTCACTCGAATAATAACGCGATGCACAATTTTCATTAATTAATTTACTCGGATTATTTTACGTGATAATATAAAAGAGAAACTCGCGCGCGCACATATATTAATAGAAATTTTTCTTCTGCAAACTTAAATTTTAATTCTTCGAAAATTTAATGATTGGTTGAAACAATTTTAAATTATTATTTTCTATCCAATTATTTTCAAATTTTACTTTAATTAATATTTATATAATTTAATACACTAATTACAATTACATAAATTATACAGTATGAGTTACTCGAGTACACATTTATTAATTGATTTATTAATTAAAAATGTGTGTGTGAAAATATATATAATACAACATATAAATTAAAAAATATAATTATATAAATACAATATAATATTTTAATGAATCCGCTACATTATCTTTCCACACAACGTTTCGAAATAGTGTTGCTATTTTTTTTCAAGTACGATATAATCGCAATGCAGAAATGAATATGCGCGTTATATATGTCCATTTAGGAAAAGCATTACTTAGGGAAGATGAAGGCACTATACCGTTGATCTCTAACGTTATATCTCTTAAATTTCATCTAAAGTGTCTCGATACTGGCTTTGGTACCCGCTCGGATTCCTATGTTCAATTTATATACGTACGTTCTCGTATTGTCGTCGTCGCGTAGCTACGTTCGTTAACGCAGCGAAACAGTAAACCAAACAATCGCGCCGGGATGTATAAGGCCACCAATCTCGCAATTCACCGTGCGGGTCTCTCCGTTTAGAACAAAGAGCGCCTGGTTGGACGGGCTTACCATATATCGACCAAATATACCGCTTTGTATTATCGGTCTATTCGGATTACCCCATTTCGTGAGGTGCGGTGGTGTTGCCTTTCCCACACCTGTTATCATTTCCACTTTGCCTGTAAAGTCATGCGCGTGTATCAGTTTCTGTTTAATCAATTTATGAAGGAGGTGGATGACCAGAGGATGAATATAGTTTCGTACTTGTCTCATTTTTTAGGAAAAATGAAAAACAATTTAATCCTGTCAATCTATGGGTACCAATTTCGCGTATTTTTTTTACATGTACTGCGACAATTTTTTTTATAACTGCTGAATTTTTATAGCATTGAATATTCTTTCTCACTATTTTTTTTATACAAAGTATTTTGTTTTGACAAAAGTTTTGATATAGTTTTAATATTTGAAGTTGCTTTTATCTGGATACCCTGTTCATTGACAAAAGGGTTAAACGTTTTCGAACAAAATCGAAGATTAGCTCACCAGTAGTCAAATCTAGGAAGAGAATGTCTTCTTTGTCTATCGACGAGGCGTATATATCGTAACTATGCGTCGTCTGCGATGGATAAAAAGCGATATCGCTGATATTTAAAGTCGTTTTTACATCGAATGCGAATTTTAGTCCGTTTGCTGAAAAAAATATAGATAATTAAATTTTTTTAATATCTTTTTTTTTTTTACATTTTGTATATCTTTTTTATATTTGATAAGCGCAGAGAAAAAAATATACGAAAAATATATTACGCAATATCTCTTGCACTACAAGAGTGACTCCGGTGTCCTGTTTATCGAGAGTAACCAGGTATCTGGAATCGGGGGAGATTGCTGGTTTCCCCAGGATGTTCGGTTTATGGGCCAAAACGCTATCAGTAAGGTAGTCCAACAATATTTGACCAGTCGGTCGACTGGTGATCGGTTCTTCGCATCCTAATATGACGAAACCATCTGGAAATGAGACGAATCGTTAAATTCAAGTCGAATCAGATGAGCGAAATGCGAAGAAAAAAATCTCGAAGAGTATAAAATAAAAAATATTATATTGCGTACAGAGATCCGAAAATTCCACGTTTCTTGGCACACAATTGTAGTTAGCTAAGTTCACGGTACGAGTATATCTCATGTTGGCCAGATCGAGTTTGTACATCCCATGTTGACCCGTGTGGGTCACGTAACCGTACTTGAATGTATGTTTCGTATCCTATGAAAAACAAGAGTAATTATTATAAAATTATCAATAAATTAGTATATATGATATAATCAAAATTAATCAATTATTGATGAGAAAGATTTATTTAAGACGATTTTAAATCTTTGTATAGTCTATATAATATATCTATATATACAGGGTATTTAAATAAGTGTGAACAATTTTAGGAAATGATTCTTTATCGAAAATTAAGGGGGGTTTCTTATAAACATACGTTCCTCTCTGAGGAGTAAAAATTAAGTTTTTATTTTCAGACAAATTAAAAAAATGAAACTTGGTGGATATTTTCCGTTTCGTTTTTTTTATTTGTCCGGAATTTTGAGAAAAAAAAATAAAAACTTAATTTTTCCTCCTCAGGGAGGGATATAAGAGTATATGTTTATATAAAAAACCCTTAAATTGTCGATAAAGAATTATCTAAAATTTAGGAACGATATATTTAATTCGACCCAAACTAGCCAAGAAATTTTTATTTTATTTCCACCAGGAAAATGGAAATAAAACAAAAATTTCTTGGCTAGTTTGGGTCGAATTAAATATATCGTTCCTATTTTAAATACCACTAGCGACGTTTTAAGTATTCAATTTGATTTTATCTCAAATTTGTCGCAATTATTTATAGATGTATATTATTGAATTATATAATATTGAAAATAGGTGAGAGAGTAAACATACTCGCTGCTGTGGAATATATAGGCCCTTCACGAGGTCGAATTGCGTGTCGATGGGTTCCGGTCGCACTGTATGGTGCTTCTTTCGTTGAGCAGCTTCCTTGATTATTTGTACGGTTTTGACGCCAACATCTACCTCGCTCCTCCAGTTCAATACCCAGACGTAATCGAGATTCTGCACGTACAGCAGATCCACGGGATTTTTGTCCGTAGTGACAACCTGTGTGATATCACATTGAAATTAATTTCATGATCTGCGACGTGATTGATGATGAAATGGGAATATTACGTACATCAATTATCATCATCTGCGCCTCGCTAATTACAAGCACGCGATTCTTCTCCGGTTGGCTAACGTATACGTATCTATTTACGACGTTTATGGCACGTCCCCAGGAACAGGCGAAATGTTTCGGCCCGCAGACGTATTCCTGTAAAAAGACAAGGATCAATGTGCGACGTGGAACGAAAAATAAAAGATGTTAAAAAAAAAAAAAAACAAGGGTGATTTTGTACCTGAGTTCCAGGTATGATGTCCGTGGATCGAATCTCGTGCAAGGCGTGACACGTAGATGGTTCGTACACCAAGATACCCCATTCGTGAAAGGAGAAGAATCTGCGCTCCTCTTCCGTTGCAACTGTAAATTCCACATCTCGATTAAATAGAAGATAGATTAGAATGATAATCGATGATACATTGTATTAAGAATGATGGTGATTTAATTATTGACAGTGTTTGTTGTTCATCTAAATAAAATTATATAGATGATTATCTAGATGAAATTTGGACGTCATCTTATCTTTATATGAATAATAAAAATATATATTATTTATATCTGCATCTTAAATGAAAAAAGTGGTATCTTTTCTAAATTATCTAGAATAATAGTCAGATAATTTGCAGTTTAGAGTCATAGTACGTAAAAATATTTAAACAATAACAATAAAAACTTGTACATAAAAGTATGAATATATTTTTATATTTATTTTATAACTGTGTTTACATAAGCGATCGTAAAAATAATATCTGGAAGTTATCTCGATAAATCGGTATATAATTTCATCTTTATTTAGATATATTTAAATTCAAAATCATCATCTTATGTAAGATAAATTTACATATCTTCATCTGATTTTTATCTAGATAATTTCCTAGATAATTTATCTAAGATAATTCGAATTTATCTAGATTAATTTATCTAGATAATCTAACAGCACACATATCCCGAAGACGTTCAGAGAACATCCTGAGGATGTGTTCAAATGTTCTCTGAATATCTTTCGGATATGTTGTGCTATTAGGGTTTAAAATAATCTGAATTAACATCTTGGGTTTCTATCGGAGCAAGACTAATTCTTCACTCACTTGGTGTAGGTTGCTCCTGAATCACTAGGCTGCTGATGTCCCTCGTAAGTCCTCCGGCGCTGGTTGCTTCGCACATGTACGCACCGGTGTCCGCGTAATCGACCTTCCTGACCAGCAACTTGGTACCGTTTCCAATCACCTCGTACTTGTCCGGTCGATCCTCGCTCAGGGGTTTGTCGTTCTTCAGCCATCGTACTCGTGGGAGAGGCTCGCCTACCACGTGACACTTCATCTTCGCGGCTCCTTTCGGTCTCTTGGATTGGAACTGCGGTGTCACCTTGACCTCGGGTACGGCTGAGATAGGGAAGGAAGAAAGAGAGATGTATTTTTCTCACTCGTTTCAAATAAGAAAAAATGATAATTTCTTTAATTTTTTTCTTTCATTAATTAATTTTGATTATATGATCTAGAAAGTGAACATTCTTCTTCTGTGTGAGAAATAAAAGGAATGGCAAAGAAAAGAGCAGCGAAAATATAAACTTTTTAAAACTTAACTGAAGTAAGATAACATGGGAAATTACTTATATAGTTTATCAGCTAAAATGATTTAAAATCTATATCTCTATATATTTTATATTATACTTTTTATTCTTTCGGAAAAACTTACTGTAAATAGTGAGCATATGAGTTTGCACCACATCTTGATTTCTGAGAGCGTGACATGTGTAATTACCAGCATGCTCCAACTGCACGTTGGTTAGATATAGACTACCGTCGTTGAAAACGCGAATCTGCAAAGTTTTTTTCATAGTATTCGTAATTATATACAATTCTTTTATTTAAGAAATAATAACGATTTGCTATCTCTTGATTTTATTCTTAAAAAAGAGAAAAATATCTCCACCAAAAAATTATTTATTAAATTAAGAAAATATATATATTTTTATTTAAATATCCATAAAATTCTTATCCTTATTTAAAAATACATATATAATTTTTTTATTTAAATATATATATATATATATATATATTGTTATTTAAATAAATAAATATATTATCTTATTTCTCTTATTTAAATAAATAGATTATGTTCCATCTGATATGAATAGCAATCTCCCAAATCGATATACATCCCGAAGGATCGAATTGTCATTCGAGCGGGAATACCTCCGACTCGCTAAGGGTCTCCACATCCGTTCCGTAACGTCGCCAGACGAGGGGCGGGGGTGGTGTTCCGGTGACGTCGCACTTAATCTCCACGTTGTCTCCGACTCGCGCGGATATGTGATTCACCTCGAGGGATTTGTCCAACGACACCACTGATACACCTGTCATCAGATTAGAGAATACGTCTTCGCGTAAGGTATATATATATATATTATTATCTTATGCGTACATATATATATATATATATATATGTACATATATATATATATATATATATATATATATGTACATATATATATATATATGCCATATATATATATATATATATATATATATATATATATATATGTATATATATATATATATATATACTCATATGCACACTATTTAATACATATATATGTACATATATATATATATATATATATATACATATATATGTATATATATATGTATATACACACGTTTGTTGTATTTGGGTTAAATTGAATCGTATTCGCGGCGATGCGCCCCGTTGCACAAACTTTGCATAATAATTCCTCGCGGCCGCGTTTATATATACATATATACATATACATGTGCGCGATGGCACTCGCGCGTGTAGTCTGACAATTTACGGTGATGCTATTGTCCATGGACAATAGGCGCCCCCGGGAAGACCATTATAACGCGGATTAGCATAAGAAAATTACTTGCCGATGATTAATCGCTACGTCAAACCGAACTAACCGCGAGGATAAGATTATTCTGTAACACATGATGGTTTGACACATCTCGCGAGAGATGAAAAAATTCAGCAAAGGGTTCTTTCTTAATTCAAACAGGAGAGCGCTTCGAGGAATTTTATATATATAAAAATATTATACATAAAATATATATTATCTATAAATTATATTATATATGTATATATATCCCTAATAGCACAACATATCCGAAAGATATTCAGAGGATATCCAGAGGACATTCGAACATCTTTAGGATGTCATTCTCTGAACGTCTTCGGAATATGTGCCCTGTGTTAGGGTATTATATTTATTATACATATATAAATACATTATATATAAAATATATATATTCAGGGTGTCTAGCGGCCAGGGAAATCTGGAAAATCGGGCATTGTCAGGGAATTTTATAAATCCGGAATTGTCAGGGAAAAAAGTCAGGAAATTGTACTATTTACCTGGATTTTTTTCACATTATTCTACATTTGTGTCAATAATGTGAAATTTTTTATTATATAAATATAAACTTTTCCTTGACTCCCAGTACGCCAATTTTCAGTGTTGTTAAAAATTGATTCATCTACAGCGTGTTCGTTAATTTATATTTTCATCGTCGTGTTATATCGTGTAAATGATATATTTGGAAAAAATACTGCTAAAAGGTCAGGGAAAAAATGAATTTTTGCTGTTATTGGAAAATTTGAAAAAGATAGGGAATTTTTTTCATCGAGTCTGCTGAACACCCTGATATTATATATAAAAATTAATTTGAATACTTAAATGCAATTAACATAATTATATACGTTATCTCCTTCTTTTATCGTGTCGGCTAGCAAAATCCTGGGTAAATCCCTCCCATGATGAACGACCAAACGAATACCGCAGATACGCTACTTACTGTAAAGCTTGCTGAAGGCCATGTAAAACTCGTTAACGTTCAATCTGCTGTCACCGTCGGTGTCATCGTAGCTGATCATATGGCTCAGATTGCATCCCGCGCATAATTCCTCCATGTTCTCCTCCTCGGCGATCTGAATGTTCGAGGGAGAATTAAACAGGATTATTCGCGAAACGTTAGCGGAAACGGATGAAGGGGCGAGATATCGCGTTACTGGCCGTTAAAGTAACGGCCATCGAATAAATTTCATCTCTTTTTCTCTCTCTCTCTCTCATATATATATATATATATACAGTTTATTTAAAAGTCGAGGGAGAGAAACGCCACTAATGAAGAAACACTATATACGGAAAAATACATCCAATGTGTTAAATTACCTGTTCCAGCTCCTCTCGCTCCAAATTACCGTCATTGTTTCTGTCGTAGTGAGAAAACATGATGCTGACCAAGTATTCCTTACTGTGATTATCTTCGGCCATTAATCTCGCGTGGCTGTACAGGAGCAAATTGTCCTACGGCGAATAAACAAAATGTTAATCCGGTGATAATATTTATCTCTTTTATCAAATTTACGCTTCAATGGAAATAATTTAAAAAAATGTTATTGCGAAATAGATTAGTTTTTCTGCGCGGAAAAATCTCGATGGATAAATCCGTAAACTACAAAATTTATATATACTGTTTTTGAACTTCAACAATTATAAAGAATATTTATTCATTTATTGAAAAAGGTAAAAAAAAATCTTTCGTCAAGATTATTCTTTATTCAAACATTTCTCTATGCTTTATCGGATAATATTGTGAGACGAAATCGCGATGACATACTTTCATAATTTCGTATTTCTGCGCCGAACATTTCTCAATAGTGTGATCTTTTTTTCGCGGGATCGACTTGCTCGCCGGATGATGCTTCATCTTATTCTTGGACTTATACGGGATATTCTTGCCTTCGGATGAGGCGTGATACGCAAAGAAATCCTTCCGTGCTTGCGCGCTGTAATTACCTGGAAATGACGGAATTACATTCCATTATAAACTTTAAGTTACCGTGATGTAACGACATTTCTTTTCTTCTTGCTACAACTCTTAACAAACCGCGCGGCTCCCATAAATTAATAGAAAACTTCCAAGTTATTATTGAGTTTATAACGAAAGCAAAGTTTCGTAAGTTCGCTAAAGATCGTGCTTTCCCTTTAAAGTAAACAACAAATTTCTGAAACAGCGAAAGCTCAAAGTATCGGCGAAGACATTTCGTTGATCCGTATTTTCATCAATTTAATGAGATTTATTTCAATCTCACGCTCGTGTGTAATTAATCTGAAAAGTTATATATAGATTATATTTGCATATTATGTACATATATATTGCATCAAAAGCGCCGCGATTAATCTACATGCATTAGCTAATATGTATCGACACACTTCGCTTTTCGAAAGATTCGTGAATTTTATATTATTAACTGGCAATTAAAATCTAAAAGGGGATATAATGGTATATTAATTGATTTATTCATCAGATATTAAGCTCGGGCTCTGACCATTTTTGCCAAGTAATTGAATTAAGTAGACAATCAAATCTGATAATTAATCAAGTTAAATAGACAGAGAGTTAAAATCAAGTAGACAATCTAGCGCACAGGGGTCGATAAACTTTCAGAGAGAAGCGTTCATCCATTTCGCTAGAAAATATAAGGGAAAATCGATTTTGGTGTCAAGTAAAAAAATTACCTCTCCTCTTCCCACATTTATTATTGTTTAAGGATTAAAGGATATTCGCGGCAGAAGCCTGGCGTTGCTTTTTACATCGCACAAAAACTACCCTCACGAAATATGGACAAAAGCTCTTATCTTCGCTCATTAATGTTGCATTATTAAAGAAAAGCATTCGCCTTCTCGAAAACCACTCGCTACAATATTCAACCGCAATCTTTCAGGGAAGATTTCAATGTTGCAGAGGAATATTTATGGCAACGTTTCCGTGTAACTCTCTTTTTCCGCAAGAGCGTCCGCAGAATGAACAAAAAATCCGTGTACTTTTATATGGAAATTGTTTGTTCAAAACTGGAAAAATTACGTAATTATCACTTTTTTTAAGTGAAAATACATATTATTGTAGAAATATTAGAACTTTACTTTTTTAAAGCATTTATTCATGTATGCATGCGTTTCCAGGTTCCAATGGAATATTTTTAATCTCGAAAATATACAAGAATATATTTCATATGAAATTATACAGATAATCTATCAAATCTTCCATATGAGTAACAGTATTGCATAATTATGCCGAGTCGAAAAAAACAGCATAATCATATAATTTTTAAATATATTTTTCAGTACAGGATTTTTTTCAGGGACGATTTAAAATGTCACTTTTAGAAATAGAATCTAATATAATTTTATTATTATTCTTTTTTTTAAATAAAATGTGCAAGAATAAATTTGTAAGTTCAAAGGGAGGACAAATGTTTAATCATTTTTGCTGTCTCTCTCTCTCTGTGTTGTACGAGACACGCGAGAGAGCACAAAGCTCGAAGAACACGTGCTCACCATTGCTCAGACACCTGGAGAGCCGGCGCGTGGTTAGCTGCACGTCGGCGTTGCAGGCAGCGCGATGCAGCTCGCAGCGATTCGCGTAAATCCTGCCGTTGCTCGCGCAGATCGGTCGATGCCTGTGCGCGCATCTCCGGACGCAAACGCACGCGGCGACGATCTCCTCGCCGGAATTCTTCGCGGAAACTTGGCACTCTCTTCCCGCGCTGCAATACTTCTCCAAGCACGGATTGCTGTCTGTAAGAAATGGCGAAAAATGTTGTCTATCCTCGCGGGGACATTCTTGCTATTTTTTCCAACAAACAGGGTTGGACAGATACTTGGAAACAAAATATTTAAGTACAAGATACAAGATACTGTTTGACATAACAATTTAAATACTAATTGTATTTAAATACATTTATAAATACTTTTAAATACGATTTTTTTAAATTTTCTGATTATAATGTATATACTTAATATTAAAGTAATTACAAAAGGATTATCTACTATTATTTAAAAAATGAAATTTTTATTGTAATTACTTTAATATTGAGTATAATATAGTCTGACGGTAGAATTATATGAAAATAATATCGAAAGTAATTTTAATTTCAACATTTTAAAAGATAAGTTTATTTATTCGAACTTTAAACTTTATAAAACAATAATAATTAAAATAAACATATAATATTATATTATATATGTATAATAGCATATAGCGTATGTAATTACATAAATACATTTAAATTAAACAATTAATTATAAAATTCGAAACACTTGATTATTCGGTATTTAAACACTGTATTTAAATAAGATACACATTGAAATACATATCTTAGATACTTTAAGATATATATCTGCCCAATCTTGCTTACAAGGGAAGTTAGGCAACCCGGAAATTCAAAAAATTCGGAAACTTCGTGTACAAGTAGAGTAGTTCATCCGTAAAACTATTTTTTGTTCGTGCTGAATTACGGTCTGAAGGGGTGAAACCACCCCTCGTAAATAGAATGGCCTTTTGCTTTTCTCGATATATTTCGAAAATTATATTCAAGATAAAAAAATGTTTTAGACAAAAGTTTTATGATATATATAAAAGGACCTTTTTTAATCACGTTAATAAAATTTTGAGAAAGTAATTCTTTAAAATTATTAATCCTCAAATATTATTTATTAAATTTAGCATGAAAAATAGTTTTGTGTTACGGATGAACTACTCTACTTGTACACAAAGTTTCAGAATTTTTTGAATTTCCGGGTTGCTTAACTTGCCTTGTTAAATAATTTTAAAATTAGCTAAATAAAGATTAGATAAAAATATGTAAATTTATATTAGATAAAATAAAGATTAATTTCGTTTTAAATATATCTAGATAAAAAATAAAATTATATAGTGATTCATCTGTGACTTCCAGATAATATTTTTACAATCGCTTATGTAAACACAGTTATAAAAAAAATTCGTTTACTGCTTAAGTATTTTTATGTGCTATGACCCTAAACTGCAAATTATCTGAACACTATTCTGGCTAATAATTTAAAAAAGATCGATTATAGTTATCTATAAGAAGATAAGATGACGTGAAAACTTTATCTAGATGATCACTTATATAATTTTATTTAGATCTAATTAACAGCAACACCTGATAAAATAGAAAGAAAAGAGAGTTGGAGGGTGCAATATGTCCTCTTTTTTCCTTTTCTTTCTCTCTCTCTCTCTCTCTTGTAAGCGGGGGCGCGAATTTCGTTTTCCCATGCGTGTTACAAGACACGCGCGCGATTGATGGATTGCATTTACATATCTTACATATGTAAATATATATAAAATATATATATACATATATACGCTCGAGAAGTGGAATATCTCGTTCAACCGTGAATTCACGATAAAATTGCCAATCATTCTCGATAAGGCGACCCACCATATACTCTATCTTGTTGTAATAAATCACCCCCGCCTGTGCGTCAGATCGCACTTTGGGACTATTATTGTAACTGCCGAATCATTTTAGGATATATGTCTGCTATTCTTTTCCGCTTTGTGTGTTACGGGACAATTTTATTCTCGCATGATCGATGGCGCGCATTAAATCGCGAACTCGTTCAGAAACTGAGGATGTTTTTGGAAAATACGATTTAGTGTTATTTTGCATTTTATGCTTTTAACGCGCAATTTACACTTATTTATATCCATGATATGTATAGTGACCATCCGTCCTTTATTTTAGAGGATGGTCCTTTAGATTTATTCATTTTTTCAAAACAATTTTGTCATAATTTTTTAAATTTTGTCCTTCATTTTTCATGAAGCATTTTAATGTCTAATGTCGTATAAGAATATACAACTTTTGATAGTCGCGGAATTATATATTTTTTTTTGCTCGTAGATCTCTACTTTGGTCGCAAACTCATTTGGAAAGAAATCTCTAAAATTTTCAGATCCTTTATTTTCTCTCAGAAAATACGATCACCGTAATGATATGCATTCTAAAAAAGGAAATTCTATAAATGATATTTTATATTATTAATAAAAAAAAAACCATTTCTCTGCGTGATTGTTTTGTTCTTCTTTTTTGATTCGCATTTCTCGTCGCCTCGTCATGTGCGCGTTTTTTTACGTCATTGCGATTTTATTGATCGTAGGATTGGTGCTCTATGCAATTTTGGCAGCGTACAGGCTGATTTAATAACGGTAACGAGAATTGTATATTCGTAGGTACGTAGAATCTCGCTGATCGCGGTCCGATTAAACTTCCCGAATGGGCCAAATTACTGATTAACGTATACACACACACCGGGAAATTCGACTATTACTCACCCCTGCCGGCGTGCCAGTACTCCTCCGAATCTGTGGTGGATGCATCCTCTATCGAGGTCGATGTTGTGGCTCGAACTCCTCCTGTGCTCGGCGATACGCCATCATCATCGTTGTCCCCCGTAAAATAATCTCGATATCTTGAACGCTGAAAACGATGAATGTCAGAGGTACAATTCAATAAATTCGTATTCTTTTTTCAGACCAATCTTCTAAGAGTGTTATTGAATATCACATCCCAGCGTCAATAAGATAGCATGGGAAAGATTACAACAACGTTTTGGATTTTAGAATACTATTGCATATAGTTATAGTATCCGAGAAATATATCAATATTATATGATGTTTAATATTATATGATGAAACGATGAATGTCAGAGGTACAATTTAATAAATTCGTTTTCTTTTTTCAGACCAATTTTCTAAGAGTGTTATTGAATATCACATCCCAGCGTCAATAAGATAGCATGGGAAAGATTACAACAACGTTTTAGATTTTAGAATACTATTGCATATAGTTATAGTATCCGAGAAATATATCAATATTATATGATGTTCAATATTATATGATGAAACGATGAATGTCAGAGGTACAATTTAATAAATTCGTATTCTTTTTTCAGACCAATCTTCTAAGAGTGTTATTGAATATCACATCCCAGCGTCAATAAGATAGCATGGGAAAGATTACAACAACGTTTTAGATTTTAGAATACTATTGCATATAGTTATAGTATCCGAGAAATATATCAATATTATATGATGTTCAATATTATATGATGAAACGAAGAATGTCAGAGGTACAATTTAATAAATTCGTATTCTTTTTTCAGACCAATTTTCTAAGAGTATTATTGAATATCACATCCCAGCGTCAATAAGATAGCATGGGAAAGATTACAACAACGTTTTAGATTTTAGAATACTATTGCATATAGTTATAGTATCCGAGAAATATATCAATATTATATGATGTTCAATATTATATGATGAAACGAAGAATGTCAGAGGTACAATTTAATAAATTCGTATTCTTTTTTCAGACCAATTTTAAGAGTGTTATTGAATATCACATCCCAGCGTCAATAAGATAGCATGGGAAAGATTACAACAACGTTTTAGATTTTAGAATACTATTGCATATAGTTATAGTATCCGAGAAATATATCAATATTATATGATGTTCAATATTATATGATGAAACGAAGAATGTCAGAGGTACAATTTAATAAATTCGTATTCTTTTTTCAGACCAATTTTCTAAGAGTGTTATTGAATATCACATCCCAGCGTCAATAAGATAGCATGGGAAAGATTACAACAACGTTTTAGATTTTAGAATACTATTGCATATAGTTATAGTATCCGAGAAATATATCAATATTATATGATGTTCAATATTATATGATGAAACGAAGAATGTCAGAGGTACAATTTAATAAATTCGTATTCTTTTTTCAGACCAATTTTCTAAGAGTGTTATTGAATATCACATCCCAGCGTCAATAAGATAGCATGGGAAAGATTACAACAACGTTTTAGATTTTAGAATACTATTGCATATAGTTATAGTATCCGAGAAATATATCAATATTATATGATGTTGATATTATATATACAATATATATTATACTAAACTATTTATATCATATGTATATTATATACTATATTATATATTATATGAGAGCGATGAAAAATAATTGACGAAAAAGCTTTGAAAAAATCATATTACTTTATTCTTTCTTTATATTTTCTTATTAATTATAATCAGTGTTGTGCTTAGATAATTTTAAAATTATCTAGATAAAGGTGAGATGAAAATATGTAAATTTATTTTAGATAAGAGATGAAGATGATTTGTTTTAAATATATCTAGATAAAAGGTAAAATTATATGGTGAATCATCTAAATAATATTATTTTTCAGACCGTTTATATAAACACAGTTAAGAAATGTAAATTATAGAAGGGATATAGAAAAATATATTGATACTTTTATTTATAAGTTTTTATCGCTTACTGCTCAAATTCTACTACTTCAATATTTTTATATACTACAACTTTAAAGCAAATTATCTAAATATTATTCTAAATAATTTAGTAAAGATAATATATATTTTACTTATCTATATATAAAAATAAAATGACTTGAAAATTTCATCTAGATGATCATCCATATAATTTAATTTAGATAGCAGCAAACACTATATATAATTATAATAATGTCAATACTGAAAACGATCAGGATCTAAGAAGCTTACAGCTGAGCGTAAATTGATCTACTTCCTAGACAGGGATAAATGTTTCAACGACACAATAATTTCGCGAATCTAGAATCGGAAAGATCAAGAGCTTGTTCAGCAAAGTCGAGGAACGCATTTTCCGCGAGGGAAGTTAATGGTCCGTGGATATTTCACGGAGACGTAAAGCTCCTTTTCCGCTCAGCTCGGCGTTATTCATCGCCGACAATCGAGGTCGCTTCAAGTCGCCGGATCAGGTTGACCGGGAGGAAACGGGGGTGTAAAAGCGGGGGTTACACAAGTCGGGGTTCGTCGACTTCCGGATCGGATTACGAGGAGGTTGCTCTCATTCAGGTGAATACCAAGCAGTGTCAATGAACGTAAACGTGGAATGCCGGGATCACGAGTCGGCTCTGCCAGATGATGCGGGATATTCGTTTGATGGACCGGAGCCAAAAGGGTATAAATTATACTCGGCGAAGAGGTACCTATATATGTACTTAGACTCATCTAGCGGTCATCTTTTAGCCTTTATGCGAGTAATAATGTTCGTGAACACGAGGTGGATACAGCGAAGACGTGAGGGATTTGTATAATCGGACGGTAACTTGTGTCGCGACTTTTCAAACGGAAGAGACTCTCTTTTGCCGGGAGAGAGAAATCTAATTCCAGTCCTTTATCTTCTCTGGTTTTTCTCATTTATACATGAGATCTCTCTCTTTCTTTCTTTTGGCTATAAAATTAAAATATAACATTAATTATTTCTCTCTTTTCACGAGATTTACTACTCGTTTATTCTAACGCTCTTTATTAGAGAGACAGAAATATCCACCGGCGATTATATATAGACGGTGGAAATGCAAGAAAGTTAATTAAAACTAATTGCCGTAATTATGTTCGATTCGAGTTGACGGAGAAGATAAGGACGGGAAAAAATCTTGTTAATCGTTCGGCGGCCGAATTACCTTCTGACCTAAAAATTACTCAACTTCTTAATCTTTTCATCCTATGACTTGCGAAATGAAATTAAAATTATTTTGCGAAGGGGAGCGATTTGAGCGCGATTTTTTATCACGTTTTCACAAATCTAATTTAAATTTAATAAAGGTACACAATATATTAAGGTTGATGGAAAAATACGTGTACTCACTTTGTATCGAAGTATATCGGAACCGAGTGCCGGGGCGATATAGGTCGAGATGATTGAAAGCAACAGGAGATAGAAGGTCGCGAGGCAGGACTTTAGTCGCATCTGAAAAATATATCAAAAATTATATTACATCGTTTTATTCCTTTATACCGTCTGCTTTCATGTTATTATTTCTCGGGGCAAATAAAGAACGGATACTCTGGCTACGTAGCTTGATAAAGATACTAAACGAAGGTAGCTTAATCCAATACAGATTATTCGGTTACGTTGATAGTTTTAAGGAGGAAGTAGTAGGGTCCATTGCAATAACTAAGAGTGGATTTAATCTAGGAGAATAAAAATATATACTAATGTACAAGTTTAAGTAAGATCTTACCTATAAAGCAAATTTAAACGACATTAAATGTATGTATACTGTAAATTTTATCAAATTAAAGCAATTTGAAATGATCTAAATTTACATTAATTTATTTAACATATAAACTTAAATTTACTATTAAATATTGACGAAGATAACTTCAACGCTAAATTAACTAAGTTTTATTTACGTTTAATTAATTTATATATGAAAGTATTTCTCTCTCTTACTCTCTCTCTTCCTAATCTTTTATACTATGGAAAATATATTCTTTTTTCTTATTCCGAAGAGATTTTCTTCATGTAAATACATATATGTATATTTTCTCTCGCAAATCTCCCTCCGATATTTGAATTTCAGATTCAAAGTTAAATGACTGTAAAACAGAAAATAGGCGCAGGAGCCTATCACATAAAATTTTTAAAACAATTTCCCCCTGAATAGGGCAACTTTTATACTCTGCGACATTGTATTCCGGAGAATTTAATAGTGCGAGTAAGTTATATTTTTTTTATATTATCTAACCGGTCGGTAGTTTATGTTCTTTTGATCCGCCGAAAAGTCACCGAAGCTCTTTCAATAGATATATACGCTGCGAAAAGAAAGGAGGAATCACTATGATTCTGCCTTGAAATTCACAGTGCTATATTACGGAGACGTTTACATGGTAGAGGTTGGCCCATCTTAAATCTTCCGATTAACTTCGAGCCTGCCTAGTCTATATTTTATGCGCGACGTTCAGAAATTTTCCATAAGAATGGCATTCGAATGTACGAATTACGAAGATACGATTTTCGTGCCGCGAATGCGAAATTGTATATCGATTTGCCCATTAATCGGCATCATATTATATTAGAAATACTTTGCAAATCCTTCTATACATATTTTTTATTATAAAAAAATAATACATATCGTTCGTAAAATTCGTATAAATATCATTCGTGAGAAGTTTCACAAAATAGAAATATTCAAATAAAATATTATAATTAATTAATGTGTTAATTTCTCTTACATTTTGCCAAAAGAATATTGGCAAAGTATAGAATATTATTTTCAGTCTAATCTGATTTTCGAATTTTTATTTAATTTTTGTAAATTTAATTATACTTTTACTTTGTCAAGAGATTTATTGATAACAGGGAATACAAATTCTTCCCGTTATATATATCGTTCCAAGTATTCTGTTTACTCTGATTTTTTGCAGACACACATGTCAGGCAGAAGATATGAAAAGATCTCGTTTGCGAACCACTGCTGTCGGTCCTCGAACGATTGCTGATGATAAAATACAGAGCAGTATTTTTGGTCGGGCCATTTAGACTGCCTTGGTATGTCGAGCAGCTGGGTAGGGATGTGTAAGGGTCTATGCTGACAACACACAAGGGCCTCTTAGTTCTTCTTCGATCCCGGTTCGGTAAACACGTGTTCCTCCAATACAAATATTTCGAAGAACGAGAACGGATATATAGAGACTCGAGGTCTGAAGTGAATCTTGTGCGGAGATTTTGTGCGAAGATTCGTGATTTACTTTCAAAACGTGATAATTATCCACGCCAAACGTGATAATTGCCACACGAATCGAGTCTTATTCTTCTCTCCTTAAGGTTCGTTCGATTTTGCTTGTATAGTTCTTCAAAGTAATATATCATGAATTTCTCTTTACATACAAATATTTGTCGTATCATTTTTATAATTTATTATTTAATTTTTATGTTTTTCAAATTAAATTTCTTTTTTATATTTTTTTATTATACAATAATATATCGCGCTATATGTGCGTCATAAGAATTATACATTACTGTTATTTTAAGTTCATTCTCTCTCTCATTTCTCATACAACTACTCTAATTATTATAAATATAGCTTAGCATTTTTTCCTTTGTTATATGAATTTATTGCTTGCGGTTTTTACAATATATTTTGCATGTATAATTTTTGAAAAAATTAGTTTATGTATATATGTAATATTTATAATTTATCATTCAATTTTTACAAAATTAATTTCTTTCTTCATTAAATTTTCTTACTATATATCGCGTTATATTTTACGTCATAAAAAGTTATACAAATATATTATGGTATCTAATTTTTAATTGATTCATTTCTTATACATCACACTCTAATTAATACACTATAAATAAATAATTATTAAATCTATCAATTGCTACAAATAATTTGACATTTCTTTCGTCGCGTGTGAAAAGTATCTTCCCTCCAAGCTTAATAATGATCGGTCGTAGATCCCGGAGAAAGTACTTCGCCGAAGCAATCTTCGAAAGAGAAATAGACTCGGGGCAAGAATGTGCTGTTTACTCGTCGGTTGCGTCGCGCTGCTCTTCAGCGTTCTCGAGGCGCCGTCTCTGGTCTCGGCTGCTCCTCAAGCGAGCGACTCCCTCGAGAGGACCACGACCGTCCCAGGGGGCGCGAATTCGTACGGGAATGCGCAGGACGCGGGCATCAATAATCCGGAATTCTCCTGTCCTCCTTGCTCGACGTCGTCGGTCAATAGCACGTCGACAAACCCCGGACAATCGGACTGGTTGACGCAGCAGCGGCGGCAGCATCTCGAGCAATTCTACACCCAGAACATGATGGTGCACGGCATGTTGTGCACGTGCAACGTCGCTCTGCGCGGCGCCCCGATAAGGGACGATTATCTTTACACGGCGAATATCGGCGTTCACAAGATGCACACGAGAGCAGCCACGTGGAACGACGCCAGGAAGTTGTGCAACGAGGAAGGCGGCCACCTAGCCATCATCAATTCCATCGCCGAGGAGCACGTAAGGGAAACCGAATTCTCCCTCCCCGATCGCGAATTATTATCTGATCCCTCTGTAGAACTTTCTGCGAAATATATGAGACCTATATGCGAGACCTTCTGCAGACGCTTCGAATAACGGAGAGCTTACATAATTAATAGCTGGAGCCTGAGAGAGAGTATATCTACATATTAAGATCCCAAGTACTAGATGAGTCAATTATAAATGCATAACCAAATCTAGTCTCAGTAACAGCTTTTATAGTCAAGACCCGGATGGTCTTGGACATTATTGGTCTGTATGTCAGCATCAGGCAGCAACAGATGAATTTTTATGTGAAACAGTTTCATTTTCCATCACATCTCTATATATTAAGATACCAAGTACTAGATGAGTTCATTGTAAATGCATAACCAAATCTGGTCTCAGTATCAACTTTCACAGTCAAGACTCGGATGGTTTTGGACGTCTGCATATAGAATCAGGCAGCAACAGATGAAAAGCAATTTTTATTTGAAATAGTTTTATTTTCCACCACATCTCTATATAATAAGATTCCAAGTACTAGATGAGTTCATTGTAAATGTATTACCAAATCTGGTTTCGGTATCAGCTGTTATAGTCAAGATTCGGATGGTCTTGAACGTCTGTATATAGACTGAGGCAGCAACAGATGAAAAAGAATTTTTATTTCAAACAGTTTTATTTTCCATCACATCTCTATATATTAAAAGTATCTCTATAATATTAAGATCCCAAGTACTAGATGAGTCAATTATAAATGCATAACCAAATCTGGTCTCAGTATCAACTTTCACAGTCAAGACTCGGATGGTTTTGGACGTCTGCATATAGAATCAGGCAGCAACAGATGAAAAGCAAGTTTTATTTAAAATAGTTTCATTCTCCACCACATCTCTATATAATAAGATCCCAAGTACTACATGAGCTCATTGTAAATGTATTACCAAATCTGGTTTCAGTATCAGCTTTTATAGTCAAGACCCGGATGGTCTTGGACATCTGTATATAGAATCAGACAGCAACAGATGAAAAGGAATTTTTATTTCAAACAGTTTCATCTTCCACCACATCTAGTATAGACGAAACAGTCAACAGGTTGCGGCATCGAACTGTAACTTTAGCAAAGCAACCCTGGTTGGTTGGGTAGTCTATTATCCATCCGTTAAGATCCAGATAACGTCGTTTTGCTGCACACCCTTATCGTTTTACCAGTCCAACTATTATCTATCTACACGTAGTATTTTTGTATCGATCGATGTCCCTTTTCCAGGTACTCCGGGACATATTTAATCGCTCCGGACCGATCAAAGGAGCAGCGTATCCCGACGAGGCCTTCTTGGGTATACACGATCTTTACAAGGAAGGCGAGTGGGTCACCTTGCTGGGCGAATCCCTGGCAAAAACCGGTTACACCAGGTGGAGCGACAAGTGGGGCGGGCAACCCGACAACGGAGGTGGCAAACAGCACTGCGGAGCTTTAATGAAAGAGGGTGGCATGGACGACGTCGCGTGCGACGTCCCATTTCCATTCCTCTGTGAACTTCCGCTGATGCACGCTTTGCACTGAAGAAGAAAAGAGAACCTCGGCGGGGGATTCAGGGATTAAGCATCATTCGCATAAAGTTTACACACCCTTGCCGCGGACTTATCGTAGTGCATAGCTGCATTATGCAGACGTCATCTTCGCGTGAAGATGTGTTCTTTTTTGAATAGACAGAGAGAGAGAGAGAGAGGGAGAAAGTCTTTTCTCCATTCTTTCTGTAAAACGACGAGATGTCTCTCTGAAAACTTTGTTCGCCTCGAAGGTTTTCCTTTCGTCTTTTCTCTCTACGAGAGGACAATCCACCGATGAAATCCGTTTGACCCGTTTTTATGTAAATATAAAAGACCTTTTTCCTAGATTCTTTTTCTTTTTCAATTTTTCGAAAATTTCGAAAAATCTTCTCTCTTCGTTCTTTCTTTTCCCTCCCTTTTTCTCGTTCTCTCTCCTGTTTCTCAACTGCTAACGAACAAAGTACAATATAAACGGATTGCACTGATACATTGTCGATGTTCAAATTAGCTATTCTAATTAATCGCTCGAGCACAGTCGGATTCTCCTCCAAGTTTAAATCTTGGAAGTTTCTCTTTGCTGTGATACAACTGATACTATTACGCGTTAAATTACGTCGCATGAATTTACAACAGCTTGGAGCACAATATTGCGTTACAGTATCAACTGTGTAACCACCGTGGCGTGATCATTATACGCGAACGATACTTGCAAATTAAATGTCGACGAATATAGCGAGTCTGTTTCTGATTTATATTTATATATATATATATATATATATAAATGTGATTTATATATATATATATATATGTGTGTGTTAAAAATCGGATCGATGTACCCTGGTCCGGGAATTTTTCTCCGCGCGCAAGATAGTTTTATTCCGCGAGTTACAACAGTCGCAATATAACTTACGTACCCCGGCGATTTATGTTTACGGGAAATATAGCGTTACGTTTCGGAGAATAAAGAATTTATAGAGGCATCGATTGAGAGAGAGAGAGAGAGAAAAAGGGAAGGGGAGAAAAGTGGAGCGATGTAAACCGATATTGCGAGCGATGTAAACCGTCGGTTTGTATTTATGACGCAGCGGTAGAGCTGCAAGTTTTCGAGTTTCAAACCTCTCTCGCGCTCTAAATTACACCCGCGTGAAATTGAGAAGCACGCGGAAAATGAAGATGGAAGCTAATTTCGGATGCCGAAATCGTACTCGTGCTTGTCGAAAATTGCAGCCATCGAGAGCGCGGAACGTCGAACAGCGGATGGTTATAATTTCCGTGCGTTACGTGAAATCAATCGAAATGTTCGCGTTCATGAGCGGCATGTTAAAATTATTTTATCGAGATACAATATCGTATATCGATATACGCGCACTTTACAATCCTTATTATTTGCTACCGAAAACGTGCGGGTCAATATATTATATATAGTATACTTGTCTTTTATATACGCTTTGATATTATATATTTTGGATAATTTTTTTCATATAACAGTTTATATGAGAATAAAAGCTGTATTACAGGATATCGATTTCCACGTCCAACTTTTTTTATTACATTTCGATTTTCAGACATTGCATTGTTCTAACAAAATAATAAAACTCGTATTTTACACCGTGATCTATTCTGCGAGAGAGTAGTTTTTATAAATTTTCAAAGAATAACGCTTAGAGAAATATGCTTTACTGCGTTATATGACGTTTCCATATAAATTCTTCAATCAAGCGTTAAAATATATTGTCCATTTGTAATACATGAAATATATGACTGTTTCTATAATATTTAAAAGTATTTAAGTTAGAAAAAAAATACTGACATAATTTTTTTTTAGAAAAAGTTTTTTTTTAGAAAGAAAATTTTTTGGAAATATTTTTGATATGTAAATCTTTTTTATGATTTATATAGAAGATATAAAATATTATGTAACACTTTTGCGAAGTGTAGAAAAATGTAATGTAATAAAACGAGATGATCTCCACAATATAGCCTAGAATAACGTTTATTTTACTCGCGAGAGCAAGATCCAGGAATATCAAATTTTTTAAAATGAAAAATGCTTAAAACATCGTTAAAATTCTTCTATTTGAGCTGCATTATTACAGGCGAAAGTCTGTTAATAATTGTGTAGCTTGAACAATCCGGCGATTGTTATGACTGACAATATTGCGGCATCCTGTTGCAGATTGGAAGACTATGAATGAGTATAAGTCCGTTTTTCTTCTTTATTAACGGAATCACTAACGAAGCGAGTTTCGTGGTAAAACGTCGATTTAGTAAATCTCAACGAAATTGGTTCTTCTTTCATTAAATGCAGTTTCTTGCTACGCGAAAGTTCGCAAAAAGACAAGAAGTAACTTTTCCGCAGCAATTCTTACTTGAACGTTTATACTACGTTTTATACTTTACGAACCACTTATATATCCTATCGCAGTAACCTTTAACAATCTTTCCAACATACTCGCTATTAGTCTTAATTTTGATCGAGTTTTTCAATTTAATACTTAACAAAAGTGTTTCATTGATAAATAATTTTTGACCATTTAAAAGATTTGTAGATATAAATAAATAATATAAATAATTATACTCTTTAATTGTGATATATATATATATATATATATATATATATATATATATTATAAATTCAACGGCGTATTAATTTGGAATTTCATTTAAATATGTAATATTGAAGGATGCGGAAATTGCATTAAATAATGACGTGTCTGGATATTTATTTTTATTGAGGGAAAATTGATTCTAAATTAAGCGGCGATGATTAAATGCATACTTGTTTGCTATTTGTACATCGTTATGAGTATATATATTATGTGTGTTATATGTTTTATTAATTATATACATATTGGAGAAAGATTATTTTTGTATTAATTTATATACATGATAATTTAAATAAGGTTTTTTTTCTATATAGATATACAAATTTTTTCTTATTTACGTAAAATTAATCTTTATAGTATGTAAAATTTATATTGCAAATTTTATTGATTAATTGTAATGAATTGATTTTTTTGATCTTGTGCAAATTTATTTCTAAAATAGGGATGCAAAGTCGATTATTGCAAATATTGTTACTGCTTTTCTGCGATGCTGAAATAGCATCAAGCAACTGTCACCGTAAAGGTTAACAGTTTGACAATTGTAAAATAAAAAATTAAAATAATATCAACAACGTTCGTCGCAAAGCGCGCGCTTGTGTTGTCTAGTACATAACAAAAATTCAGAAATTAATATTGTACATAATTAAAATTTGACAAATTAAAATTATGCATATAGTAGATATTCGGGAATTAAAATTAAAATATGAAATATAAAATTAAATAATAAAATATAAAATTAAAATATAACTATTTAATATAATACTGTATATATATATATATATATATATATATATATATATAGAGAGAGAGAGAGAGAGAGAGAGAGAGAGCATCATTTATACCCCTGTATTATTTTTAATGAAAATTATTGAATTGTATTTGTATTTGTCAAATTTGTATTAGTATTCTATTATCAGTTTACTATATACTAATAATAATTTGCTATCATAATTAAATTTGATAACAAAAATGGATTTGATTTATGAGTTGACACAATTACTTTTACTTGTAACTTTCTATTGTATTAAAATCACAAATCTGCTTATAAATACTAACTTTATGTAGCATATATAATCATTTCGTTTAATCTAATCGAATATATTTACGCAAGTTTTCTACATGCATTTTTTGTGATGAAATTTTCTACATGAATTTTTTGTGATTAAATATCTACGCTTTCATTAGACCTGCGAGACTCTATACCCCATACATCCATTACGCTGCGCGGTTCGCGCAAAACTGATTCTAGTGCGGGGTATTGCGAGCGCGGGCCCGATGATCACATGACTAGTGGTCACGTGACTATTGGTCATGTGACCAGTGGTCATGTGACCATCGGTCCCGCGCTCGCGATAGCCCGCACTAGAATCAGTTTCGCGCGAACCGCGCACCGTAATGGATATGTAGGATGTATTAATCTGATTATATGATCAGTTTCGCGCGAGCCGTGCAGCGTAGCGGACGCGTCACAAACACGCGAATCTAATGGAAGCGCAGATATTTTAATCGAAAGATTCTTGTAGAAAATTATATTTTGTTGTTTTTTGTTAAAAATTTATATATTGAATTTTTATGAATCACGTAATTAATAAATATATTTATATGCATGCATTGCAATAATAATTTCATACATGCGTTGCAATTTTTAAGGTTTTATCAAAGAATAATATAACTTTGCTTCGCGCATGTAATTACATTCGATTAAACTAAACGAAATAAGCAGAAAATATATAAAGATATACAAAATAGTTCTCAAACAATAGAATAGAAGCTCCAATAGTCTTTCTATTTCTAACGTATTATTTATTAATGCAATAGAAATTTGGCGAATTAAAATTATGGTCATATTCACAGCATCAAGCAACTGTCATCGTGAAGATTAACAATTTGACAGTTGTAAAATAAATAATAGAAATAATCAAAGGCGCGCACGAAGCGCGCTTGTGTATTCTACAAAAAATATCGATGTGCAATATGTGCGTTCGAGATAGGCAACAGGCGCTAATTTCGTAAACGTGAACTACGTTCAAACCTCAAATTACAAGAGTAAAAAAGCACACGAAAAATGCATTGAATAAAAACACATGAAAAATGGATTTTAATTGATCGTATCGTCGCCGTTAATATTAATGTCAAAAACAGGACGATGGAATGAAATTGCGATCGATATATGTATATTTACTCGCGAGCTATGTCGTCGCTTATCATTTCGCACGACTCGTATTTAATGATGCTGGAGATTGCTGTGGAAAACGTAAATGAATATTATCTTTATATTTTAACATAATTTTTTAGAATTTATAAAATTTTTCCATAACGTGGAGATATATTGAAATTTAAATCATCTCTATGTGTCTTTTTCAATTTTAAGATAATTTAAGATGACATTTAGCTTTATATGTAGATTTCATAAAGCTTTTGTCATCTCAAATAATAATCTGCAATATATTTTATACTTTTATCATTTTTTTCAGTGCCATACAATTTTATCTTCTTTTGGAATAAATTATTTTCACGTTTTATATAATATGTTATCTAGAATGCATACAAATTTTTATAACTTTTTAAATGTCCCAAAATTCTCTTTTTTGTAACTTAATATATAATATACCAATGAGATAATGCAAAATATAAAATTAGAAAAAAATGAATATATAAAAAATTGCAATTTTTATCATGGTACTCTGTCATAATTGCGAATATTAGTGGAAACTTTGTGATAAGAGTGTTCAAATATTTTCATACATATTTCTATATTTTTAATTGGATTAAATATACGTTTTATTTGATTTATAATATGTCATATTTTAGTTCAAATATTTTTATATGTACAATTAACAAACTAATATTTAGTAAGAGTTAAATTATTTTTCAGTATACACACATCATGTCTATATTTTTTTTCAAATCCGAATGCCGAATAAATTTTAATTAATATTATTATCGCAATAAACAGTTGTTTGTCCCGTGGACCTCCGATTTTGACAAGGTCATCCTGAAGAAGACGGTCGTCAGGTTTCGCATGCTAGATGAGGAATGGACGTCTTTGGTGCCGAATCGGCGAGATTATGGTCCTTATCGCGGTTCCTGCAGCGAGAACGAGAACTTTTACGGGGGTAGGTCCGTCGTATTTTGCGTGCCGGCGGGTTTCTTCGAGAAAAAAGCGACCGACGTCAATGTGCAGCTCTACGTGCAGAGAGAGGTGTGCAAGTACTTCGAGATGGATCAGTTCCAGAGCATCGGCTTCGCCAACGTTCCGGTCGATGATCTACTGAACAGCATCGCCAAGCAGATGCGCGAGCGGAATGAATTGTCGGAACATTTGTCGGACTTCTATAAGCAGCAGATTATCTCGAGGTGATAGCGTCGAAAAACATCGACCAATAATTTGCAGAGCGGGAGAAAACTTTTTATCTCATCTAGTTCGAAAGCTCTCCTCTTTCCGATCTGATCGTTCGATCACATTTATTACCGAATATTCGCGAAAGAGGAGAGAGAGAGAGAGAGAGAGAGAGAGGGAGAGGAACGTGAAGAAAGAGCTGATGTTAATGAACGTATTGTTGTAATTACGATGAAAACGTATTATTAAAATGCATTAATTTATTGTAGGTCAAGCAGAGAAAAAATATCAGAAAAATATATACCTCTCCCTCTCTCATTGTCAGTAGACAACCATTTTGTTATTGATTATTCCATATTTTCTCCACCCTATTTTTTGCTCTTCATATTTCTCATTCTACGAAACAGATAAATAATGAATAAATTATCAATTATATAATTAAAATATAATTAATAAATTTCGTTATTTTATTAGTATTTGGTTTCAAGGAAGTTGAAATAAGTTTTCTTATTTTGATCAATACACCTGCTCTCAAAATATGTAACCCTTTGTTTAACCTCTTGTATAATTGAAATAAAAAATTGTACGGGCTGCGTATAATAATCTTCGGGGACTTTAATAACGAATCAATGTGTACGATTTAAGGTCTCTGACGGGAACTTACAATCTGCTCGACGAAAACTTCCGGAGTACCGCGGCCACGATCTCGCTCTACATCCGGATCAGCTACCTCGGCAAGTGCCTTGTAACGGAGATTACGCGTCTCGAAAGTGGTGCTTTCTGCGTACGCAGAGAACCGGACGAGGAAGAGCCGTATCTCTCTTGGCAGCTGACAGCGGACGAGCTTCAAAGCGGTCGCTGGGACACCGTCAGAGATCTGTCGTGTCGTGTTCCGCGTGGACGTTTAGTATGCCGCTGCGAGGAGCTAATTAGAAAGAAGGACGCGCCCGCGAATTTAGCCGGTAATTGATTCAGCCGCTTTGTGTACTGAGAGAATATATACGACACTGCTTTCGAGTTCCCTTTATCTCTTTTGCAAGGGAGAGAGAAAGAGAGCGCTGTCTGGCTTAATTCCGGAGAATAAAGCTCTTTCTTAAGTACAGTTAAGCCGCCAAACGCGGCTATTTCTTTCTGATGATCCTCTTTGATCGTCCTGCTAATGTCTTTTTTATTCATGCTAATAAATATATTATACATATATGTATTTATGCGAAAGCCTGTTTGCGATATTTCGAAAAGATTTTTCCAAATTGAATGATTCATTATTTTGGATTATAAAAATTTAGACGACTATGTTTTTCATGTGAGAACGATGTGATTGCAATGTATTGATAGGTTATTGGCGACAGCCAAAAGAAAGAAGAGGGCCCGCTGCAGACCTGTCAAAATCAGCTGATTTTGACAGGTCCGTCACGACGAGAACTGTTGCAGATGCAGTGCGAAATACTGTTGCGATTGCAGCTACCGCAGACTCCATTAGGACTCCAATGATCGCAAAAACCGACACCGTAATTACAAAAGGACTCTCTGATTACGGTAACCTGGGTGATAAGATTTACGACACTTTGGGAGGCGACACTGATGCAGATGCGCTTGCGAACAAAGGAACTGTCATGACGACAAATTCTGCGATTCCCGTTAAAAGGATCCCTGCAAATCCCAAGATCAAAAGAGGAAAGGTGCCTACTGATTATCTCGGTGCTTTGGGAGACAAAATGAGCGTAGGTACGAGCAAATATGCTGACATATCGATTCTTGTGAAATCTCCTCGTTCCATTATCTCTGATTCTTAATACAGATTCTCCGATTATCTTTTTTTTTCGCGCATTAAATTTTAAGTCTTCTGTTAATGTCTAATCTTTCATCAGTATGAGTACTAGGTAAAAAAGCCTTGCCTACTTTTTTCCAACAGATTGCACTGTAATAATTTTTTCAGCAGCTGTTCGACGTCAAAAGAATTTTTGGAAGGTTTTCGAATAAAGGTTCTTTATATTTTATTTCAGGCGGCAAAAGTTTTGATACGCTTTTAATATTTAAAGTTTTACCCGACGGAAGAATTAATAATATTAATATCTCTGAATAGAAATATACATTAAACTGTCAAAGAGAGGTTATTACGTTAAAGAAATTTGTCGAGGGGGGAAAAAAAGAAAAGAATTTTTACTTATCTAAATTTATTAAATTTCGAGAGAGTTTTGTATATACAATAATGAAAAAAAAAGACGCACAAAAGAAAAATATGAGATTTCTTCGTCTTTCACAGATGCCAAAAGACGCGCTGTCGCGAGGGCGAGAGGAGGCGCGATAAAGGACAAAAACGAAGGAACGACTTCCTTCAAGAAAGCATTCTCCGCGTCGGGTAAATCGAAGCGCGGAAGAGATACGACAACAATCGGCATCGCGAAGGGAAGAGGAACGAGAATCCTGCCTTCTTCCGCTCTTGCGTTCGCGTCCCCGTGTCGACAAACGTATCCTTTGTCCTGTCAATCGCAACCACCGCGTTCAACTTGTTTCACTCACCACTTCGACGTTTCGTCTTGCTATTGTGATGGAACGGATCGTCCCGAATCGACGGATGTCCTCTTCAATTCTTTTATTGAGGGTAACGAGTTTTCGCGCCTTTGTTACCCGAATGACAACGAGTGGATGGCTATTGTCGATTTTAACAATTAGGAAGGTGGCTATGGATCGCGAACCCCCTTCGAAGGTTTTTAAGAGATTCAACCTTTTCATAACTCTTGTAATTTTTATTCCGTCTTTCATTATCTTTTTTTTTTTACATTTTTATAATGTTGCGCGACGATTCTTTATTCGAATGACGAAATCTTCCGTTCTCATTTGTAAAATGACATCGGTCGACCGCGTAAAAATGATGTTCAAATTACCAAATCGCGGAGCTGCAATCAAACAATCATCAGCTGACCGACTTTCGGTGAACTTTCTTAATTATTGCGTTTTTATCGAATGTAAGCCAATCTTGTAATATTGCATAATAAATTAATAAAATTCTGATTCGTGTTTTATGCGATTACAATCGAATCACTTGACTTCGCAATACTCTGCTGTTGAGACATGTGAATATAAAATGTGACGATCTTGATAAATCCTTTTATTTCTTTGTAAATAAATTTATCGTTGCACATTATGTAAATATTTTTTTTTAGAGATGGTTTTTTTTAATGCATGGATTTAAATAATTTGTATGAAAATTTATTTCTAAAATTAATTTAATGGGAAAGAAATTTTTTATTTCAATTTTGTTATTTAACAGATTTTGTATTTGACTGCTTTAGAGATTGCAGAAATTTTAAGGCTTAAAAAAAATTAATAAAAAGGAGAGAATCTTCTTTTTTCTTTCACTTTTACTTTTCTTAATATATGTATCAATAGTCATCTACGCTAAAAAAAGAGAAGAAATATAATTTATTCTAAAACGTATAACAAGGCATATCTTGAGAAATGTAATTATTGAAGCTCTGGTGTTGCTATATATTTCAATTATGAAATGAACATTATTCTATCATGATTTCATCATGATATAAACTGGTTTAATCATGTTGTTTTACAATTAGATCGAACGATATAAAATCATTTTATTGACATGAAGAAGGCGTTGAAATTTCTAAGTTGCATGATTAATGGTAATAATGATTAACAAAGTGAAAGCTTTGATACATGTTCTTAGAACTTTACGCCTTTTTGATAATGCACGTATTCATTAGTAAATTCGCTCTAATTAGTGCGTACTAATTTATTCGTTTTCTATACCAGTGTTTTCTATACAAGTTTTTTTTTCAATACCACCCGAATGCAGTGAAATTGAATTAAGTAACATTTAATGCAAATTAGTGTTCATCAGTGCATTCAACCAAAATTCGAGCTAAATAATTAAAGAGATAATCCATTGGAAAAATTGTATTTATACATTAAAAATATTTTCTTCTTATTTTTAAAGGATTGTCTTCTCTTGAAGAAAATCCTCTAAAGATTAGTATCAAATATGTATAAATTTATAAAAATGTAAACAAAATGAAATTTATTTTTACTTATATTTTTAATTATATAAATTATAAATATATCAATATAAATTGCTATAGAATCATATAAATTGTTGTAATCATATGACTACATAATCAAATGGATGGTCCACATATAAAAATATACTACTCTTTGTTATTAACAAAGAATATAATCTTATTTTAGAGGATGTTCTAGAAATACTTAAGAATATTTTTTACGAGGGATTTTATAGTATAAGTCCTCTTACTTCGAAAATACAATTTTTTCGACGAAGAGAGTATTTTCGCGCCCTCTTTATCTTCGTATATCGAATAATTTGTTTTAAGGGCGTAAAAATTAATTTTACGTTAGCCAAATATGTGTATCAATTTGCGAATCGGGAATACGTTGTGTGTGCATCATTTCGTACAATTGCTTGTGTGGATTCCACATTCAAATTTCATCTGTTTTTCCATCACGTATCTCCAAGCGTTTTTCGATCAGAGAGATTGAATATCAAAATAATTTCGATAGGGATTCTGTATACATCGATATTGTGCATATATGTATCTTTACTTTTATGAAACCACGATTTTTAAAAACCTTCAATAATATATCGATATTGAACTGATAGAACAACTATACGATAGGAGGTCCTCCAATTCTTGTTCTCGTCAAAGAACGAACGACTCGCATCAGCGTTGGGAAATAAGTGTAGGAAACAGGGATTATATAAGGGAAAATATAGTATAGCTATCGATTAAGAAATATATGTTTATCGTTTTATAAATAAATAAAGTACTACCACCAATTTTTCAAGTAAAGTAGATTAAGTGAAATTCTTGTTCAGTAGGCAAACAAATTAAATACAAGTAGCAGTTGCCGATATATTTTTAATGCATACGATGCTTCCTCCATGAAAGTTTCCCTTTTATTTAATAATACCCGTTAGGAAAACGTTTTAAGATCTCTCTTTTGGATACGACGCGGCGGAACTATCTTATCGCAATCATTTCCGTAAAACTCTATCCCGGTTTTCACCGCAACGGTGTAAAATGGGATTCTAGGGGAAGCAGTGCATTTAAATCTCCCGGTAACCACTTATTCGAATTAATTGGTTCCCACAGTTTAACCGGTATGAATAACAAGTGTGTGTGAATGTGCGTATACATGGCATGATTAATTTATTGCTTAAAAAATTAGATTATATATAAATTTATTGATTAAATTAGATTAGATTTTATATAATTTATTATAAATTTTATATAATTTTATATAAATTTATATATTATATATAATTTTTCAAAGCAATATATTTTTATTATCCAGTAAATATATATATATATATTTTTTTATTTTTAAAGCAATATATATAATTTTATATACATATGTAGTCCATATGTAATATGTACAAATATTATTTATATATATATATGTATATATGTATATATATGTATATATATAAATTATTATATATATATTATTATATTATTATATATTATTATGTATAATATGTGTATATAATATATATATTATTTATATATATAGTAAATACAAAATTTGTGCAGATTACATATGTATTGTTTATTAAGAAATTGTGCAGATTTCGTAGAATTTCTCGTGCTAAACAGTGCGTTCGGTTTATATTATCTGCATCGGAATATTATTCGCGCGGATATCATTGCTCCGAACAAATTCACGGGCTTTCGTGCGCAATCGTGCTTTTCTTGTACAAGCCATTGTTTCGGTACCGAACGCGATCTAGCGTGCACTTCCGCCACGTTAAGCCCGAGATGGGATTAAAGGAAAGGGAGCAGGTTTGTGTAAACCACACGGGATCCGGAGAGGCGCGATGTAGGCAGCCGGCGCATTATCCGCATTTATGCCGACAGAGAAATTCTCTCCCCCTTTTGGCTCCAATGGGGGGTTCATACATATTAACGGGAGAGTCATTGCGCGAAATGCTCCTTAAAACACGGAAAATAAAACGGCCGAGGAAAATCGCGACCGTGCGCTTTTACGACGGAGAGAGACCTTGCGGCCATAGGAAAAGAGCCTAGATGACTGTTTTTCCCTCGACTATTAACATTCGTAAATTACAACGCGCCGGTGTAATTTATGCTGTTGAAACCAGACACGCACGAGTAACGCCGATTAAAACGCAATCAAGTTGATTTCGATGAAAGGTAACATGACTGCGGTTTCAGCGAGATTTTTTGTCAATTAAAGTAAAGCAAATTCTTTTAGATATTTATAAAAGGTATATTTTTAAAAATTGCGATTTTAACGAGACTTCTTGCCAATCAAATCGCGTTTACAAAATCTAAAGCAAACTCTGTTGTATTTATAAAGGTAGGGATATTTATATATAGAAATACTGGAAGAAGCTACTTTTGACACGTCGAGATAATACTTGTGTGCTATTAATTAATTACAATTATTAAATTTATCACATTCTATCAATCAATTAAATTTGGATCGCAAGTAGTCTA